AAAAAGACTTATTATAACTTTATTAATTGCGAGAGAGATATTGTATTGTTATAGATGGCTTTCAAATTATAAAATTAAATATGGTATTTTAATATTTAAGTAGAAATATAACAATTTTAAAATAAATTCCATAAAAATGAATTTCGCAGCATCTGATTGTTTATGTGTTAGAGATGGCTGAAACTTGAGTTTGAGAATTGATGTGTGTAAATAGAAACCAACAGAATATTATTATTGAAAGGTTTTTATTTGGGGACCATAAGTAAGGTCCATATGATATATAAGGTGGTGAGCCACGAGATAAACAATGGTAAGTGTCGTTTTTGTATGTTGTTTTTATGCTAAATAGTGATCACGTGGCTAACTCTTTGTCTCACTCTCACCTGGTATCTGCTTAGCTTCAAGTCTTTTCATTTCACGGGTTGCTTCTGTCTCCAACAACAACTCCAAAACCATTCATAAAAATAAGCCAAACAATTCCCCAACCTCGTCTACTCGTGTCGCTCTCAGCTATTTCATGCACCATTTTCATCTCATTTTCATTGCATTCACAGTTTCCAATTTTTGTATTCACATGTATTTGTATATATATTATTTTATTTAATATAGTTATTTAATTAAGTTATCAAATAATTTTTAAATATTAACTCTTAAATGATAACTTTTCTGTCATATCATATGATCTTATTTCTCTTTCATGTAGTTTGATCGATTTCAATGGTGGATTTCATCACGTGAGAGACATTCATGGGTTAACGTGATTTCAACTTTTAAGGACATTCACATCTCATGTTTTTTGCATTCACATTTTTATACAGTCCAGCTATGTTTCTTTGTATCTAAATTTAAGAGTTATTATCAAAATAGATAATGAGTTTAACTGTTAGTAGGCTTATTTTTTGTCAAGTATGGAGTCAATTTGAATTTTTTTCAAACATGCATAAGAAAAACTAATCGTTTAGCTCTATGAGTGAAATTATTTTAATGAAAACTAACTTCAATTCGCTCTTCCTCGCCCTAGTAAGAAGGTCATGCATAAGAGTATACAATTTAATCAAAAGTCTTCACTCTTAAGAACATCGATTTAAATTTAATATATAGAAATTGAAAAATATTTCTTAAATAATAAAATAAATAAATAAATAAAATTCTTATACATCTAAAATGAGATAACTTCTGTTGTCCTTATTGGTTCTTAGAGTACTTTTTTATATACATGTATACTTGAAAAAGAGGAAAAAAGTGAATAGGAAATATAAAAAGAATTATGTACAACATGCATAAAATATAAATTCTTTATGTTTAAATAATGAAACTATTACATAATTTAGTTGTAACACTAAAACACATTGCATCTTATAAAATTTATTTATGCTTGTTTCAGGGAAGGATATGCCCTTAAATAATTGGGTCTCAAGTTGACCACACTCATCCTGCACCAATAATCAAGCAACAAAAGCTTGATTAAGCTTTCTAGCTAACTCAATAATTAGCTAGCTCAAAATTAATTTCCTTCCCTTCCCAGAATGTGCTGCCCCTAAACTAAAGCTGAACCATAAAAAACTACATATAAAAGAGAAAAGGGGGAAGACAGAATCTTTATCTTTATGAAAATACAAAAAAAAAAGACTAACTTATATATGTAAAAATAAGAAAGGACAGTTGCTTTTCCATAAAAATATCACCTAAGAGCACTACAAACTTTGTATCCTATAAAAAATTGCAACTAACATGTGTAGGATTGCATAGGATAAAAAATTATATAAAATATATTTTTATAAAAAATGATAATATTTAATATTATTAATATATTAAATAATATTAAATTATTTAATTTTTAATAAATTTACTATTAAATTTTTATCATTTACAATATTACACAAGTTAAAAAAAATTATTATCAAATAACACATTAATTTATATAAAAAAAAACAACAAATTTATTATGTTAGTGTTGACCAAGAAATGCGAGAAGTATAAGTGATAACATATACAATAGAGTGGTAAATTTACACTACAAATATTTAATAAAAACAACAATCATCGATTATTAATAGATAAACATTGTATTATTTTTTAAAACAATGCAACAGAGTGATAAAGTTAAAAACTATACATTTATTTTTTTAAGGGAAAGATTAATGAACGTGCTGATACAGAAAAATAAATAAATAAATAAATATATATCCCATAATTTTAATACAATTTAATAAAAAATTATTTTGAATTTTCTAACCAGTATCCTAAGTTTTCCAAACCTTTAAATAATTAGTCAATTCATATAGTAGTGCAACTTTCTAAAATAAAATGAATGGAAAGAACAATTACGGAGGTTACGTGAGTCATCAATACTCTATCGAGTTCGAGTTACTGAACTGCTATATTACCAGAAACAAGGTATGATTATCTGAATATCTTCGGTGCACTTTGAGTTTAAACGGCTGTGTAGGTGACACGTAGATGTAGGCTTTGATTGATGAAATTTACTGGGTTTGTAGATTTTATTTGTGAAGTTAGTTAATAGTCGTTAATTTGTAGCTCAAAAATTATAGTTTTATAAATAATTTATAGATTTCACTAAAAAAATTATAGAATTAAAATTATTCAATAAAATAATTTTGCAATCAATTAATTTATATTAATAATTTAAAAAATATTAATAGTATATTCATATAATATTAAGATATTGTTTTTTATTTATCATCAATTAATTAATTATAAAAAATAAATTTTTTATCATATATATTTTAAATATAAAATATATTTAGATAAAAAATACAATAAAGCAAATAAAAAATAGTATTATTGTGAAGATTTTAATTAGATTAACATGTGTACATAAATTTTAGTTAGATGAAAGATCGATTGTTTTAAAAAAATTAAAAGATAAAAAATATATTAAAAATATTACTAATTAACTTTTAAAAACTAAACACATCTTTAAGGAATATTTGAATAATTAACTTTTAAAAATTACAAATTACTTTATTTTGTATTTAGTAGATAGTTGATGAACTATTAGCTGTTAATGAAGCTATAAGTTATCTTTACGCCATAAACGAATTCTCGATACCTTTTATCAAGAATAACATTTTGTTTGCACGTAATGACATTACATACTATGATATGTACAATTAGAGTCAAATGGATTCTCTATTTATAGGTTGATGTTGATTAGACAAGTATTCTTTCTCATCAAACAAAAAGTTATAACTAAAGGTAGCCTGTCTCATTCATATCTTCATGCAATGTGTTTTTAGTATTAGTTGATTGAAAGAGGGATTAAAATAATTATGTTTTATAAACATCACAATGGAGTGGAAAAGGGAAATATTCGTGCATGGGAACATAATCATGAAGATCAATCATGGCCCTGCAGTTTTTGTGAAAAATAGTGGAATCCTACTGATAAAGATTGCTGTGGACCCTTCGGATCAGGTCATAAAACTTGCGTACTGAATCATGTTATCCCATTATTTGATTGAAGAAAATATCATAAGAGCAATTTGTATGATTGCTATTCTACAGCTAGACAAATTAATAACTTGCAACCAAAACTCATCCGATATTGATATTTTAATTATAGTTCTAAATTTTAAATAATATTCTCATGGAATTAAAATGAAAATAAAACATTATTATATGTATAAATAATAATAATAATGAGGTGATAATAATTATTATAATAAATATGAAATAATTATTATTATAATAAAGTGGCAAAAAAGAAGAAGAAGGTAACTGAGTACAAAATCAACAATTTTAGTGTATTTTTTAATAATTGTAATTAACTTCTGATGATTTTTGCATGTTCATAAAATTGTTTTGAATTTTATAATTTAAGTTTTAAAAGAAAATTTAAACAAAAATTTAAATCAATAGTCTCTCATTTGTAAATCATAAGTTGAATCTACGTCAAACAGAAACTTACACAATATCTTTGTGCCATGTGACAAAGTTCAATGATAATTGGCTTCGTTGTTAGCTTGGCATTGAACTTGAACTATGCATGTGATCATCTCATGTTTTTGTCTTAATATTGAATAGGCACAGCAGTTCCTTTCACACGACATGAAAGCATGCTTTTTCAGGGTCCAAAGCATGAAAACAGTTTTAACTTGTCATAGTTTCACGGCTTGTTTGATTAAACCCTTTTTTTTTAAAGGAAGGTTAAACAGTTCTGCAAGGAAGATCCTTATAAATTTTAACAATGATATGAATAATAATTAGATTTAAGATAACCTTCTGTTTCTATAACCGTTTGACCTTTATTAACTTTAGTCAAACTTTAAACCGCTACATAACTTATTAGGTAAAGTAAAACAATACTTAACGTCTAGGCATCATTGGCCATGAGTTACTCTGTATTTTTTTTTCCGTCCGAAATGATTGGTAAATGCATAATTCTTCCTTGGTAAAAAAATGATTCTTAGTAAGCATGGGATTAAAACGGAATATTAGTAATTAAATTGTTATTTTTACGAGTCTTGTTAAAGGTACTAATTAAAAATCAATATAAAAAAATTAAAAATTATATAAAGATGGTTTTTGATTTTCTTAATTATTTAATTAATGTTTTTTGAGCATTAGTGAATATTTGCTCATTTTAATTATCGGATAAAATTATATGCTGAGTAAATGACTTAAACTGACGTTATTGATAGCAGCAACACGAGTATTTAAGTAATGATAAAAATAAAATAAAATTAACGAAATGCGTCACTAATATTTCTTGAAGTCGTAATCAAGAAGGACGAGGAGGATAGCTTGTCCATGCTCTGTTACTACTCCACCAATCTCGACTACTTTTTGAACAAACTATTATTGCAGCAAAGTCAAGGAATAGGAGCGAGTTGAGAACAACCAATCTCAAGAATAACCAGCAGTATTTGTTAAGAGATATGCAAAATCTTCCTCAACAACTTTTACGCTTCGAAAAGAATGGCGTACTTTTTGGTTAAAAAACTAGAACAGCGTTTCACTGCTGAAGATGTAAAGTGATCAGTGTTATGACTATTGTTGGCCCAAAGATTGAAAGTCGCTAACTTCAACAAATTAACTAATAACCGAGTTAAACAAAAGTTAACAAAACCAATCAGAGGAGATTAAACTGTAATCCTAAAATTATATAGATAATATGAATATAACACAAACCTAAAAGTTTTATCCTTGTTAAAAACATTAATCCACGACACAAAACACTAGTTTATTTACTCCACACACTACTTTCACTTTTTTTCTTGTGTTTTTCTTCTTCTTCTTTTTTTTTTTTTTGCATTTTCAAACATGTATCTACACTCTCCTTTCTGTCACACAAAGTGATGTGTTTCTTCACTTTTTTATCTAGCGTGACCCTTCAGCAATTAACCAAAATTTACATACAAAAAAGGATTCACATGCCACACACACTAGACCTTTTTTTTTTGTTTCTGCTTTGCAGTAATAATAAAACCTATTCTTTAACCTTTTTCTTCACCTCAAACTCGAAAGTAATTAAATCGGACGGTAAGTAACGATAACACGTATCATGGTAAACTTAAGGTCCCTTGTTGGCATATGTATTCACGAGCGCCAAGGCAATGCTGGTGAACTGCTTCACGTTGGTGACGCGATCACATACATCCGTTTTCACGGGACAATCCGCTACGTCCTGGAACCCGTCCGTACAAGTCTCTTCGTCGGTGAGCGCGGCGCTCATCCACGTCTGCACGTTGCTCATCTGGAAGAGGAACGAGCCGGAGCCCGCGCCGGCCGCTCCTATCTGGCGCATCTGTTTCAGCGAGCCGCGGATTTCGTCCACGGCGTCACCGAGGTTTGAGAAGCAGTCGTGCAGCGCCATGGAGGCGCGTGAGTTGCTGCTGTAGTCGGCCTCGCGCGTGAGGTTGGTGATGTAGGAGGCGGTGCGGTGGACCTTCGAGAGGCACACGGAGATGGCGACGCGAGCGAGCTGGCGGGGGTTCTGTTGGACCGCATTGGCGTAGCGAGAGAGGGATTTGAAGCAGACGTCGGGGTAGAGCGTGGTGTTGCAATTCCTGAGGATGAAATCGGTGTCGCCGTCGTCTCCGGCGGTAATTGCGCCGGAGTTTTCGGTGGCGGAAAAGTGTGAGAATGCGGTTGCGAAGATGAGGAGGGAAAGGAGGAGATGGTGTTGCCGTTGAGTTCTCATTGTTGGTTCCGTTCTGTTATGGTTGGTTTTTCTATGTTGTTGTGTGTGTCTGTCCGTGAGAGAGAGAGAAAGAGAGGGTTTTGTAGGCAACACTTTCGTATGTAATTACTTTATGCCCGTTGCATTTGGGGTAATAACAATAATGCCATCGAATCTTTTATTTTTATCTATAATGGAGGGTACTCCTTTATTTATAGGTTATTTTCAAGAAAAAATTAATTATAATAAGTTAAATGAGTCCAAAAAATGATTTATTTTATTCTTCTTGGCAAATTTCATGAAGAGTCATTTGTTAGTTTTTTTTTATTATATCCAACCCTCTTTGTATGCATTGATTGTTTATTGAATGAACTAGAAGAAAAGTACTGTTTGTGGTAGAAATGATTTCCCTGCATATTTGGTGTTTTAAGAAGTTCTTTCATGGTTTATTTATGGTACTAACTGTGAATTGCAATGCTTGGGAAAGTTTGAGGAAAAAACAAGTTCCCCAAATGATTGATTAGGACAGAAAGATTGAAGTTGATTTGAAATATTTATTACTGTTCTCGTTTCGTTTGTTGTGGTCTTGTGAAAAAGGTTTAATCGTTGAAAAACAGTTGCGTAATATTTTTAAATATTCAACTTTTAATACAATTTAAAACATATATAATCATAAAATAATAAATATGTTTTATTATTATCTAATAGTAATATATTGTTTATAAAAAAACAATAACTAAAATGGTAGGCTGGGATGTGTGGGGACGCTGCTAGCATTAGCATGACAACAATAATAAATAATAATGTAGATGACAATGAGTGTAAAGAAGAGACGAAAGCATCATCATTCCTCACTTTTTAAATTAAGTAATCATAATAAAATAAGAACTGTTTATATTACTTTTAATATATATTTAAAGATATATAGTAAAAATATTTAAAATTTTATATATTAGTAGCATTCAATTTTATACTTTTAATACAACATTATTCATTTAAATATCCATTTACAGATAAATAATAAAAAATTTATAAGTGATATTTTTATTTTAAATATAACATTTATTAATTTTTTTAATTTTAATAAAAACTAATATATGTAACTGTTCATTATATATTTTTAAATTTTATTAAAATTTTAATATTTAACATCATTAACAAATTAGATATAGTAAAATTTGAATAAAATTTATTATACATCCTTAAATATACATTATAGATATGTGTATAGAATTTGATGTGTTAATAATTTTTCTATATGATTTTTATTATATATAATTTTTTAGTATATATTGAAAGGTATAATAAAATTTGTATATATTAAATTATTTATGCTGATATAAATGTAAAGATAAATAATAAGAATTAATAAATAATTTTTTATCAAAATAATAATTTAATATTATTAACATATTAACTTTTTTATAAAAATTATTATATATTAACTTTTATTATATGTCCACACACACATATATATATATATATATATATATATATATATGAATATTTTTATAAGTTATAATTATTATGTTAAAAATATAAAAAGTGTAGAAAAATTATTAATTTATTCTTATTATCAATTATTTGAATTTAATTATAACAATTAAAATGAATAGCTTATAATGGGAAATCTTTGTATATGTTTATTTATTAAATGACAAAGTTGAGTTATCAATTGCTTTAAGAGGGGCTATCGTAATTTAAATTAGAACAAGGCGACAAGCATCTTTGATTTATTATCCTTGGCACGAGCATGCTCAGTGCCCACTTTAATTTTGCGGCAAGTGCAGAATCTTACAAATCAACCGTCATTTTCAGGCCGTGACGAAATCAACGGCTCGTGTTATAACTGCCCAAATATTCTACCTATAAAATTCAGATACCCTTTATCCACGATTGAGGGCTCATATTTGACTGTACATTTGTGAATTAGAATGATAGCAAAACTTAATAACGAGTATTAACTTATAATTTTGAACTTGATTATGTAAAGTGAAATGAAAGTTTTGTGGAAATAAATGATGGGAATGTAGTTGAAGTAAATGAAAGTGTGATGGAGTCCACTAACAGTAGAACAGCGTGAATGGGGAATAACCTAATAAAGGAGGAAAGAGTATGGGAATGGGAAAGAGGTCGGTTGAGAATTGAGACAATGGGTATTGTATTATACATTTATATTGGTGTTATGTTTCTCTCACTTCCCCACTATGCCCCAAGCGTGACACTTTTGTTCCCTTCCACACACCACACCCTTCAAGAACAATCATCATTGTGGGACTTAACCTTCCCCACAATCCCACTCAATTCTTAACATTTTTTAATTTATGTTGAGATAAATGTTGCACATTTGGCCTTGTTTTGAAACCCATCTACAGAAAGTGAGAGTTATTGAAACCCACCATTCAAGCAACTATTTGCTCCAAATTTAAGTACAGATTTTGAAGGACAATTAATGTAACATACTAACATTTCGAAAAAGCTCTAATACCGTGTTAGCTTTAGCTTCAACTTTGACTTTTGAGGGGTCAAACAAGTAACAGTTGCTCGTAAATTAAAACCTCATAATTTTGATTTGAAACCGCGCCGCTGCCGCTGCCGCTGGGTGAATCCATTTGATAATAACATCTTCACCGGATAACGGGCTCAACGGCGTAATTGACTCTTCCTTTTTCGTCTAAAAAGTAAAAAAGAAATGGAGTTCCAGAACTTTCCAATTCTTGGCTACGTTTTTTTTTTCGAACACAGTATTTTGTGAAAATATTTTATTTATATTTCATCAAAAACTCCTTTATGTTTTGATATATGGTAGGCTTAAATATATTTTTAGTTTTCATAGCATATTTTAATTTTTGTTTATATTTTAAAAGTTTAAATATTTTAGTTTTGGTCTTTTCTATCAATATTTTACTAAAACAAGTGTCCTATAGGACACAACTATTTTTTACTAATATCTATACACTAGAGGAATTGAAATTAAAAAAAAAAAGTTATGTAGGAAATAAAAGACTAATAGAAGGACTAAAATATAAATTTATAAAAGTATAAAAACAAAAACTTAAGGGACCGTTTAAAGTAGTTATGAGTTTTAAATTTTTTATTTTTAAACATAATTTTTAAAATAAAAAATATTTTTAAAAAATGAAGCTGAGATTATTTTTTAATTCTTAAGCCAAGTTCAAAATATTTTTTAACTTGTTTTTTAAAATCACTAAATGTGACACAATGCTGAGTGTATATGGTAGGGCTAGAAATTAATTAAGTTGAACTTGACTCAATAAATATCGATTTCCTTTGAACTCCCAGAGAAGATTTACATGAACTAACTTCTTAATTCAACTTAAACTTAATTTAATTCCAAGAGTTATTGAACTTAGTTTGCAAGATTGAATTACATGAACTAAATGATGTTCATGTAAGTTAGTTTACATAAATATTTTCAATTCTCATGCATTATATACTTTACACACTTTGCGTGTGTTTTATCATTAAATTTGTTCATCAATCAAATGAATCAAACCATGCTTAGCTCAAGTTTAGTTCGTTTATATAATGGCCTTAATTTGAGTTTAAGTTCAACTCGTCTAGTTCATGAACTAGAGTCGTGGAGCTAATTCTCAAGTAAAGACTCGTGGAACTAATTTTGAATTGGTTTTAAAAAAATTGCATCTTATATGTTTTTCAAAATTATCAAATTTTCACTAAATTTCTTACTTTTAAACTTTTACAACTTATTTCATACTACAATTTTATTACAAATCCCTAAAAATTTGGATAGAAAAAAAAAATGTAATTAAAAATAAGAGATGAAAACCATGTAAAATCAAACTGGAAGGATAAAAATACAATTAAATATACAACTCATACATGCAATGCATTAGGTATCGTACCACATATTCAAAAATTAAGTTTTGTTTTCTTGGGCTCTTAGCCCCCATTCTTAGCAAAAAATAAATAAATTTTAATTAATTTTTGTTAAATTGTTACATATAATTGAAAAAAAAAAAAACTATGTCAGTTCAACTGGCACAAATTTTTCGTGTAGATGATTTAGTTTGAATTTGGTAATTACTTTTCTAATCGTACATGACAACAATACAATCAGATTAGATTAGAAAAGACTATGTTATGACATTGCCTAAATACACGTATGGGACTCTATCAATACATTGCCTAAATGTAATTATATAATGAGTTTAGTTTTAATAAACCTTTGTTATATTATTGATTAATTTAAATACACAATAATTTTATATCAAATATTATAAAAAATTAAATATTATTATTAATATGTCAATCTATGATTGAGTTAAAATCTAAATTTTTTTATACTGAGTATAATTTAATTAATTTTTACATACTTAGTTGATATAATTATGTATATTTATAAAACAAGTATAATTAATAAATTGTTATATATATATATATATAATGTTTTTAATAATTAACTAAAGATATATTGAATATATACTTAAAAAATATATAACTACACGTGTGAAATCTTTTATTTTCGGTCCTCCTTAAAATCTTTTAGGATATTTTCCTGCGTTAGATGTTATATGTTTCTTTTGATGTTTTTAAATTTATTTCAAAACAATCTCAATCTTATGATTAAATTTAAACATTTAAAAGTAGTAATTTTATTAAAAAATATTTATTACACTTTTACAACTCTAATATAATAAATGTATTTTTAATAAAAAAATAAATTTGTTAATATTAACTTTTAAAATTGAGTTTAAATATATAAAAATAAATTTTTTTATGGAGAAATAAAATATTCATTAACTTTAGTATCTTTCATGTACTTAAATACTATTTTAAAATAATTTTTAATCCAAAATCGTTTAAAACATCAAGAAAATGTCAATTATTTTTTTAAATAATATATTTAAGTATTATTGTTTCACCTAAATACTTAAATGAATTCAGAATTACATTCTAACTTTACAACAGATACATTTTTATAAAATAAAATTTATATTATAATAGTTTATGTAATTGATATTTTTTTTAAAAATGTTTATTGAATAATGAGACAGAGGGAGTGTATCTGTATTTTCTTTCAATCATGGAAGTATGGGAATCGAGGAGTGTGTGCATTAGGTAGTTGCCATTTGAGAATATCATTTTTAAAGGTGACGTTTTGTTTTGTGAATAATACTAGAAAGAGGCATAAAATAACTGCATTAAGATTCATTATTATTAGAGGAGATGCGGCTAATTTTGCTAGGGTTTTTCTTTTATAATAACACCACATACCTTAATCTTGTCAAAATTAGGATTTCAATTTGAGGTGGAGCTATTAACAATGAGTAAAATAAATTCAACTCACCTTTATAAAATTGTAATCTAGCATAATTCACTAATTTGGTTGATTAGCTCACAAGTTGACCTGCTTAATACAAAAAATTTTAAAAATACTTTTTAATAAAATATATAAAAAAACTATTATCATTAATAATCAATATTATTAAATGATTTTTTAAGTTATCAAATATTTTAAATTTTATATTATTTATAAATATAAATATAAATTTTTAATCGTTGCATGTTAACCAGTGTTATCTAAGTAAACTGGAGTGATGGAGGTAAAAAAACTAAATACTACAAGTATGTTTCTTTAATAACTTGACTCGTGAAAAATTCACAGTAAACCAAGTTACTCTAGAGTCAAAACCCACTTTCACAACTATGATTTGAGTTGGCATAATATTTTGTATTGAAAAAAAAAACACAAGTGATATTTTTGTTCTTGAAGCCATTGTTTTCATCACACCATTCTCGAATGTTCATGTTGAGTATAATATCATGGCTTGTAGACTTTGCTGTTAGCCATATTTGATGATATACACCTGCCAGCACTCATCTTCAATTGTCTATTACGTACCTTTCATAGCCAATGAATGATATTTTTCAACAAAGTTTTTTAAAAATATCTGAGTGCATGTATTTCATTTTCAAGTATTCAGACAGAGCCTTAGAGCCTGTTTGTTTAAGACCTTTTTAGTTTTTCCTAAGAAAATCACTTTTTCCTGTTAAAAAAATACTTTTTATTGTATGATGTTTCTCTAAGCTTTTTAAAAGAATCAGTTTCTCAAGTTAATTTTCTAATTTTTTAAGAAGCTATTTCAGGTAACATTTTTCAGGAAGTTATTTAAAGCAACTATTTCAAGTAAAAGTACTCTCACAATTACACAAATGAGTTTCAACTTATAAAAGAATTTACTTATATATATATAAAAACACAATCTTAAAAATACTTTTCTTAAGCTTAAACAAATGGGTCAGAGTTAAATTTTACAATCACTGTCAACAACTTATACGTAATAAAGAAAAATAGATATACTCATATATAGTTTGTGTTATGGATAGAAAGGAATCAGAGAACAGAGGATTGAGATAAGATGGGAACTGAAATCTTGGTCTAAATAGCCGCGAGGCACAGTAAAGGGGAGACAAGGTAAGAAACCATTTCGTGTGGATCTCTAATGCTTTGGGATGAATAATCCTCATATTCATATACCCCATCAACGTCATTGTCAAAAAGACTAAAAACGAGATCCCGGGCCAATAAGACTCCGTGAATGAAGGATAATTACAAAACTTGGCTGATTATTATCTTTGGTTGAGTATGAATCCTTGTGGGTCTAAGCTATAACAGAGTTATTTTTATTGGACCAACAAACGAGCGAGAGATATGAATGACACACATTAGTTATTACACGTCACTCTGCCAATGTGCCATGAGAACCTGTTATGATCTGTACCTGTATAAATACAAACATCTCGCCATAAACATTTGGTGTATGGGTAGCCTTATCATGAAAGGTGATGGCCATATGGAATACGATATTGACAGTAACATCATTCACCCGTCCTAAATAAAACAAAACTTACTACTAAACCTTAAGGTTCCACCAGAAAAGACGATAGGAAATCTGTTAAAAAAACAAGTTCTGTAGGACTTTGTTTCATTGCGTCCGGGGATTGGGTTTGAGCAATCCTTCTTCAATCATTGGCATCCCCATTAGTGAATGAGACATTGGAACAGAACGTGTGATGCTCCACATTTCGCCCTTTTGTAACTTGCGAAATAGTTACAGCAGTAAAGCGAATTCTAACTATTTTGTTCAGAAATCAAACCGGATATGAGGTAGTAAAACTAAGCTATAAATATAGAGTCGTAACAATACATGTACAATGGCATAACAAGGAGTGTGTGTATGCACCACTCTCTTGTGTTTATTCTCATTCCTACTTAAATAATTTTAGACCTAAAATACCGTTATGATTAATTTAATTAAAAAAGAAAAAAAGAAATTTTAGAAAATATTAAATAAAAGTAACAACAGACATATGAGAGTGAAACACTCTCCCGTAACAAGTATAAAAAACCTGCTGATTCAAAAAAGGAATACATTTTGTTTTAATTTCTTTCTTCAGAGAATAAGATATCCTGAAAGGAAAAAAAAAAAAAAAAACTACAGTCAAGTGAGAAATCAATGATGTCGAACAGAGAAATCCCACTGGGATAGCCATTAACCAAACGGAGAATTCAATGATATAATTGGGGAAAATGGAACAAGGTCACTCGTTGTCGTGGGTAAGAGATGTAGAAAAGTATTGGGATATAAGATATCATGACCTACATAATACCGTCAACATTAGGATTTCATGCCTAGCATATAGACTTGAGATTTCATGCCTAGCATATAGACTTGATATCTCAGCAAAAATTAAACAACTTCAAGAAAGATAAAAATGCCAAATCTTACATTTCCTCAAGAAAAAACAAGATCACATTGTCTGAGCCTCATGTATGTGACCTTTGTGTCTATCAAAGAGAATCACGCTATGACCAAATGGGTCGTTGAAGAAATATGTTGTTTAAAGTCTATTTTCCATTTATTCGCATCATTTTACCGTTTACTTATATTTTCTGGTGTAATTATACCGTACATAAACCCTAGAAGAAAGGATATGCCACAATTTCAAGGCATTAGTTGAATCACAAAGTTATTAAAATGAAGGTTATGATATATTCTTAAGGACAGGAAAAAGCAAGAAAACTAAATTTTCATTGCATTTTTATTTCTAAACTAAGCATCTTTTGTATCAATTGGCAATAACATTCTTATATACCAAAAGTTGCATTTTTAACTGTGTCCTTCTTCCCTTTTTCAAACTTTGCACGATGCTGACGGTACTGTTCAAGCTCTTTCTCCAACTTTTCAATGAACTGGCTAGTATGCTCAAGGGATTGCTCATACCTATATTTCTCCAAGGCCTGGAAATTTCAAGTTTTGATAATAAGTTAGAAACCATAAGATTTAAGCTAAAAGAATAGACCCCGATGCTTTCTTAACAAAAATATATTTCCAGTGTAAAACTATGAAGCATCACTTTGCACTAATTATCCAGTCAACCAAAACACCAATCCTTTCATCTATCAGAAAACAAAGGTGGGGCCCGCTAGTGCTTGTTTATCTCAATAAAAGAGGATTAGTCCCTCAACAGAAAATAGAAATTATAGCTTCAATTCACTGGTATGCATGAAGCAAATGAGAGAGTAGGGCACCCTGACAATTCCTCTTAGTTGCAATATATTAAGGCATAAATCCATAGCAGTCTGCAAACTTTCATAGCTAACCATGTTCATCAATTCAGCAAATATTTAATAAATTAAGCATTCTGAAATACTGCTGATTAATATCAATAAACTATTAATTTCGACCTAGTCAGAGCTCATCAAGAAATGATGATTGCTATTATAACTTGAAAAGATTTAATTGAATTTCATGTACAATCTCAACCTTCTAAAATTGCAACATATATGAGAGCCATGCACTTATACATGAGAATTGAAAACCCTCGAGTAGATAGTGGCTATACTTTTAATTGCCAATGACATAAAAAAAAAAATTGGAAGGAGAGAATGAGACATAATAGATTAGGACAATTTATGTTATTTTAGAGATAAATGTACTACTGTAGTTTTGGGAATCTTATAAGGAACCCTGTCTTATTAGAAGGGATTTTCTAATCATATTGAATTAAGAATTTTATACTACTACTATAGTATTAGTATTAAATACACTAGGACAATTGAACTAAAATTTTGTATTGCATAATAATACAGTCTCAATTTAATATCATGTTATTCTGACCCTATAATTTCTTATAAAAATACCATTTAATATTTACTAGCAAATACATTTGGCCAATGAATAACAAATGCAAAGAAAATTACCTTTGCTTTTGATATTGTGTTTGGAGGTGACATTACTTTTGGTTGTACATAGTTCTTCCCACGGTAAAAAATGATAGTATTATTAGGCTTGATGTCAATCACAATGCCTTTGCTCAGTCGAGCAAGCTCTTCAGCGTATTCGTGAACTTGCCCTGGTCTGCAAGGCTTGCAGATAACCTTTACTGTCTCATGATTCTTCCAATGAAGATGCATGTTTAGAACTACCCCACCAAACACTCCTCGTCTCCCAACTGGAACATAGTGTTTCTTTTTCTCACCAGTGCGCTTTAGGTAATGCCTCTCCTCTTCAGTTAAAATTTCAGGATCAAATGTTTCTGCTGGAAGTTTTGGTACATCAAATTTTCTTAGCTTCTCAATCAGCCAAGTTTCCTTTCGCTTGGCCTATCGAAATAAAATTTAAAATAAAAGACCCCAAGTTAGAAAAGGGAAAGTTAAGGAAGAAAGGAACACAGTCTATTTCCTGCCTAATGGTATTATATCACAGTATATACAACTTGGATAATAGACATCTTTCTTTTTTAACTTGACTTGACTAAGTATCTTCATCTAAGTATACAGAGATACTCAATGCAACAAAGAGAAGTGGAAGCAATTTTATTTAGGGACTATCAGTCATCAGAAGTTCACAACAATGCCTATACAACTATTAGAAATATGTTGGAGGTAAAGGATGTCCAAAAATAAAGATGATTAAATCATAACTTGCCAATAACAACAATGAACCAGTTGAAACAAGGTAAAAACAACAGCTTACAGGAAAGAAATCTTTAAACTGGTTAGCACGAAATCCAACCTTTTCAAGCTTATATCTGATTCTAACTTCTGGATTTGGGGAATTCATCTTTTTTTTGGCCTTCAAACGATAGAATCTGAGCTCATTCCGTTTAGCCTTTCTAGACATTTTAACTTTTTTCTTTGTCTGGCTCATTTTAGAACTAATATCATCAAGCTTATCCAGCGAGAACCGTACAACATTGTTGTTAGTCTTCATCTCAATTGAAGCATTATTTATGTATCTGGCAGAGAGCCAGTTTCCCAGAATACCATGACTTCTAAGGATATTTGATCTATGCATCAAAAGAAAACCTGATAAAGAGGATACATCGGGCCCTCTTGAAAGATGCTTCAGTGTTCTGTAAGTCCTTGGATGTATGCATTCATGAGGAGTAAAAGACCTTGTTGCAGTAGGGGATGATGAAATGGTTGGAACATGTTTAATTAGACAACATAACCAGAATGTGCTATCTCTGCCGAACAAGAATATAACTCCATATTTAGGAGCACCATAAGAAGTACAGGAACTATGATAAAATTTGTTCCTAACAATCTCAAAATTGAAAAACGAGTTAAGTAAAATTAACTGCATTGTCGAAAAAGACTGTGTTACTGTTGTTCACATCTAGGAAGGACACTTCCCAATTTCCACTGAGGATAATGGAGAAGCTACCTTCTTTTACCGTTTGATAAGATGCATATTTATCTGTTGCTACAATTTCAAAAGGCTATACTCAAGTGTTGTCAACAGCTAAAGGCAATAAATAAGCATTAGGTTATACTGTTTATAAAATATATATTTTGTTGTGAGATCTACATTATATAACTATCTTTGACTTTTGGCTTATAGAAGTTGAGAAGATATGAAGCTGATTCAGGAGTAGCCCTAAATATCTCAACCGATAATAAACTCAAGCAAGCATAAGAAGCAAAAGTCATCATTTTTTATTTCCCTTCCTAGCAAGTAAAAGGCAGACAATGCAAAGATAAAGGCAACCAATAATTATTGAGGAAATGAACACTCACAAACAGAAAATAAAACAAATACCAATACATAAAAGAAATGCTTAAATTAAGAGAGAAAAATGAACCTCTTGAATGCGCAGGAAAGGCAACTCCTTGCTCCTCTGACTAAAGCTGTAGAAAACATAAAAGTCCGAAATCCAGCTGAAAAATCATAAATGGAAAAAGGTAATGAAAAAAAAAATCCAAAAGATAGAGATTGGGGTAAATTAAAGAGTGCAGAAGCCTCGTGACTAAAAATGATCTAAAAAAGAACAATAATCAGTAGCTAAAATAGTGGGAATTCAAATGAGAACAATAATCAGAAGCTAATCATTCGAACATGCACCGCACCCCACCAAGATGGGCAAATGCTATGAAACTCATGACTCTAAAAATGTAACTTTCACTCTTTTTCAGCGGAAAAATGAAAAAACTAATGCTAACATTACTGGGTCATCAGAGAAACAATCAAGAAAGAGAATTATAGCATGATGGTTTATATCAGTGGGTTGTAGCAGCAGGCATAATGAATTAAACAGAACAAGAGCAAAACGAAGTGGTTCAAGACATACTTCGAACAGGTTGTGGTCATAGAAGTAAGCAAATGATAGAAATATTACTCCAAAGACCAAGACCTGAATGTAAATTACCGACTTATGTATACATGTATGAAGGTATATGTGAAAAATGATTAATTTATATCAATGTTATATCTCAAGAGCTATGCATTTGCTAACAAATCAAGCTGAATGGGTAATTTTAGGCCAAGTTATTTTGATATTGGAGATAGTGCACGAATAATTTTGCTTTATTTTTCTAGTATGTGTGCGTTATTGACCTTTTTTTTTCTTTCTAGAAAACAAAAGGCAAGAAGCCAAAAAGAAAAAAAAAAACAAATAAAAAAACACTAAATACAAACTATACAAAGCAAGCAAACACCAGTTAGGTCTTGTAGTGAGATAGAACATCATCTAACATCAATCGCAAGCATTCCAAATCGAATTCTATAAAGTGAGTGGCGTTTGTAACGAAGCCTAGTTTTGCCTTATACTCCCCCACATATTCCTTACACGAGTTTTAAACAAATTTACTATTATTCGCACTTATTCATGAATATTTATTAAAAATAACTTAATTTAAAATAACTCATGTATAAAATTATAATTAAAAAATAAAACACTTGAATTACAAAAGTAGCACAATGTTTTGTTACAATAATAATACATTATTAAATTAAGGACATATTAATATTATTATAAAATAAGAATGAGAGTAACATCTTTGCATGAATGTGTGTGTGTGTGTATATATATATATACACACACATATACATAAGGACGTTTTAATAAAATTGTAGGTATAGATACTATAGCATACGGGTATTTTAGTACCTGCACTCGTCCAATTAATAAAAAAATTCCGACTAATTAAACTTGTAAATATTTGTAGGTACAAGTATTTTTACTCATGGCATAATTTTATCCATAAATATAGATAATTTTATCATTTTGAAGAAACTAAGATATAATAAGGACTTAAAAGAAGAAAATCATATTGAATTATGTCATTGTATATTACACAGGAATCAGCCAGACCAAGACATGTATAAAAATTAAGAGGTTAAATGCCTTAGAAATGCATAAACACAACTAAATTTATAACACTAACACTTAGTTGACCGTTAAAAGTTCAAACCTTTTTTTATTACAGATTCCTTCTTAGTTAGTATAGTTTTTGTATCTTTGAAGGTCATCTTAGATATAGACAAAACTAAGGTCATAAATAAGTTGAGTACTTAACGTTGATGCTTGATTTGTAAAAAAAAAAAAAAGCATAAACTCGACTTTTATATACTTAAATCAATTGAATTTAAAAATCTTGAACTAAATAAAAAATTTTGAAACTTGAATTTAGCTGTTAATGAACTGTTGACAACCACTTTACAGAATGTACTAGACTTTGGCAAAATTGAGAACTGAAAAGCTATTGTTGGCTAAGAAAATCTCCATAAAAATAGTGACAATGGGCTCTGGTAAAGCAAGTTATGTAAAAACATACATATGCAGGAAGACAACAACATCTAAACAATACATGAAAATGAATTGATTTGAGGAATGAGGACCACGTATACACCACGCTCCTAAGAAATTTCATAGCAACTTTAACTCTTTCTTTTTTTTTTGTCTAGAGCAACTTTAACTTCCACGTAAACAAACTTGTAACTATCCATCTTAAGCCCATTCTTACGAAAGATTCTAGAGAATCATACGTGGGCCTAAACTATGCATTTATGACAACAAAAGGTTGTCGAGGTTCAACTTGAACTATCCTCACCCACATGCAATGGAGAAGATCGTTGATCAAAGTAGTTTAGGAATTATTCACCATCACCGTATATGCAAATATCTATAACTTGTAACATGAGAAGTGATCTCAGGTAATAACACATTAATCCCATGACAGTCCAAATTTTCATAAAAAAATCATAAGTCCCAACTTTTGAAACCTATTTTTAATGAGCCTTTTATCTCTAGATTCAAGAACTGTATTTATTAGAAACATAAAAAGAGAGAGAAAATGTATTTTTGGATGTTACTTATAACAATAATTTAGATGGCCAAAATTAAACGCATAAAACCTTCTTTTAGCAAGGCAAACAATGAGCTTCTAAGAGAAAACTCTGGGACAGATACTTCACGCAAAATAATTTTATATGTTTATAATTATTAAAGATTCTCACATATTATCAATTAATTGATTTGCTTAAATGTGATACACTTCAAGTTTGAGCACATATTTGTTTTACCAGTTGTAACACATTTCCTTTGTCCACATGAGATCCCTCTTAACATTGCATTTCCAACAATAGTATCAGCACAAACGTCCAGTCCCAATATCTGCAAATGTATAGCAAATTTGCAAATGCAAGTGACTTTAAGACAAAATATTATAATGAATTAATGGTGATCATATATGGTTTAGAAAGTAAAGATTTTACTATTAAACCAAAATTATGAATTTTCCTTCCAACCCTCATTTGCTGCAGTTTGAGCAGTATGAGTCAAATGACACTGACTTGATTATTAGTCGTTTGTAAATGTATGGAAAAGAAATAGCCGATGGCATTAATTTGTAGAAAACTAATTGTCGCTGCGACTAAAATTGAAAGTCATTGTTTTGTTATTTGAAAGTTAATGGATAGAGGGCAGTGCCATGTGTAAGAGGGGGTAGCTCATGGTATTTTGGTAATCTTCAAAGGCTGTTTTTTTTTTTTTTTTTTAATAAATTCAATACTTTAAGTAAGTACAAATTTGCGAGCATGAGGGTGTAGGATTCCCAAATAACGCTTTTTATGGATTAAATGGGTTTTTTTTTAAATATATTGATGTTGTTAACTAAGATGAATTTGTACGTGCATTTGATACTAAAATGTGTAGGTATAAAAGTTCATTTAACACCTATATATAATATGCAGGACGCATTTAATAAAGTTGACAGCATGTGAAAAATGTGAGTTATCAAGTAATGAAAAAAAAATACTTGTGTAATAGTTGATGAACAGAATTATAATTTAAAGTGGATAAACAGCTTGAGTAAAATAAATTTTGTAATCATGATTGTTAGTAAATTCAATAATGAATTTACTTCTAAGTGAATTCGGTCACATTCCCAGCTCATAATTTAAAAGATTTTTAAAACTAATTATAAAGATAAATTTTTTATCAATTAAATTCATATGATATGAAGCTTTTTACTTAAACCTTTCTCGGCATATGACTTTAATGTCACACCTAACTAATATTTGATCTCAATCTTCAATGCGTTTTTCTGAATGAGTTATTTTTTGGAAAGTTAGCTCTAAATAATATAGAGATGGAGTCCCTCACCACAAGCAGTCACTGAAATTCTCCAAAAATATGGGTTAGGCATATGGGTATTGGCTTATTTTGCGGATATTTTAAAAATATATGTAAATTTAGAGTGAAAACTATAGTATTTTACCGAAATTTTACTTAATATGGTTTATATTCACAGACTTTGTAAATTATATGATTAGAATTGAGTTATTTTTTATTTAGAGTTACTATGAAATATTTATGCTGCCAATTAATTTAAATTAATTGTGATAATGAATAATTCACACTAATGTAGTAATCTATGATTGAATGATAGTGTACAAAAAAGTATACTGTCAATATATTTTAGTTAAATTCTTAATAAATATTATGTCTAAAATAATGTTAACTAATATTTTTAGAATATAATATCAAATAATCTTGACATACTAATATTGTATTTTTTAATAAAAAAAATACTTTTATTAATTTAGTAATCAATATTCTGATGCAATGATTGATAAATATTCCTATATGTACCCAAATTCCAACCTGAGGGATAATATGAATGCTATCTATGAGGACTTTTTCGTTTTTCCCATTTGGTATGGATTATATTCGATTTCTAATAATTTATTATCACAACCGATGCAAAAACAGGCACGTCCATGGAGCTACTAATAATAATCCAACATCACAACGTAAACTCACATGCTTCCCCCTTCCCCAATACACTACACAGAGTCAAAGCATCTGACGCTTCACAATCATTTTCCCATTCTCATCATAAGCTCAGCCACATCCACATACAATTCTGGGACCCACACTCCCCCATTCCCCAACCCCTATCCCCCCCCCCCCTCCTACTCCACGTGTTCCCTACCAATTGGCGGTGCCCATCACGTGTCCACATTATTCCCATTCCCAAACCTTGAAACTGGATCCGAACCCGGTCAAGACCCGTTTCCATTCAGTCAAGCCCGGTTTGCATCGGGCTCCGAAATCAAACCACTGCCATGTTTCCACGTGGCGAACACGCATTGGAGAACTCACTGGAATCCAAGGATGCTTTCTCGTTTATATAACAACCTCGACCGTTTCCCCTTCATTCCTCACACACACTCCACACTGAACAGCACCACAGGGTCAGAGTGGGAAAAGCCAAAAAATGGCGCCAAATGCTCTCTACTCTGTTCCCGCATTCCGCATCCTCACCATACTCCTCCTTCTACTGCCCCCAATCTCCGCCGCTCATGACTACCACGACGCCCTCCGCAAGAGCATTCTCTTCTTCGAGGGACAACGCTCTGGCAAACTCCCCTCCGACCAGCGCCTCCGGTGGCGCAGTGACTCTGCATTGCACGATGGTGCCACAGCCGGAGTAACCACACTCGAACCTAACTCTCTCTGTATTTATTTATTTGTTATCTTTGTGGAGAATGTATGAGAGCTGTTATGGTGACGTACATTGTGTTGTTTATTCAGGTGGACTTGAGCGGAGGGTACTACGACGCGGGAGACAACATAAAATTCGGGTTTCCGATGGCGTTCACGACGACGATGTTATCGTGGAGCGTGATAGATTTCGAGAAGAGCTTGGGGGCAGAGCTAGGGAACGCGCTGAGGGCGGTGAGGTGGGGAACGGATTATCTTCTGAAAGCGACGGCGAAGGTTGGGGCGGGGGTGGTGTTCGTTCAGGTGGGTGACCCTTACTCCGACCATAACTGCTGGGAGAGGCCCGAAGACATGGATACGTTGCGCACGGTTTACAAGATCGATGGGTCCCACCCTGGCTCTGACGTGGCAGGAGAAACTGCCGCTGCTCTTGCCGCTGCTTCCATCGTCTTCAGATCACGTGACCCCTCCTACTCTACACTGCTCCTCAATCGAGCCGTTGCGGTGCGTTACACACTCTCTTTTTAGTTTTTCCTTTTTCTTTTTTTATTTGCTTGAAAAGTGAAAAACGGAACTGTGGTAAGTTTGAAAAGCGGTTTTGTGAAAAAAGGAAGGCTTTCACGAGAGACATGAAATGAAATAACTCCCTGCACCCATTCCACCCAACACTTTACCGGGAATTGAATTTTCTTTTTCTTTTTCTTTTTCTTTTTCTTTTTAGGTTTATTGAGTAGTTGGTAAACTGGCGCTTTTATGTTATTTTCCGTTAAAATATCGCGAGAAAATGACGGTTGTTGCGGGTGAGGGTGCAGGTGTTTCAGTTTGCTGACAGGCATCGTGGTGCATACAGTAACAGCCTGCGCCGTGCAGTGTGCCCGTTTTACTGCGACGTCAATGGTTACCAGGTATGTAATTCTAATAATGTGTGTGAGGCTAAGAGTAACAAAACAAAATCATCGAATATTCGCCGTCTGATTAGTTTAGTCTCTTTAAGTTTAATCGGTTATAAAGTTACTTTTCTGCCATGGGATGTTGATGTAGGACGAGCTGCTGTGGGCAGCTGCGTGGTTGCACAAGGCCTCACGTAGGCGTCAGTACAGAGAATACATTGTGAGGAACGAGGTGGTGTTGAGGGCCGGGGACACCATTAATGAGTTCGGTTGGGATAACAAGCATGCTGGGATTAATGTTCTCATCTCCAAGGTACACTTCGTCTTCCGTTTCTTTCATTTACTATAAGAGCCAAGTTATTACTATTATTTCATAATTAGTTGATAAAAAATCTTTAATAAATAAGAGTGTTACTAAAAAATAATTATTTCTTTTTAATATTCTAGAATAATAAATTAATTGAAATATAAAATAAAAATGCTTGAATGGCTTTTAACATGGTATATTACTGTTATCAAAATCGTATGTTTTCATTTTGGTCACTACTACTACTTTTCAAATTAATTGAATTATTGCATTTTATTAGTATATTATGTTTGTGTCATTGTGTGTGCGCGTATCAAAATGCTCTTGTCTTTTATGTGTTGTTTTTGTTCCTCCTGTCTTGCGTCTCTCGTTGGGCATGTGGGGGCGCAGTGTGACACTGTTCATTCATTCAATCTGGATGCAGAATATAGAGATAAAGTTCTGTATCACGTGGTCTTTGGATTGTGACTTACTTTTGTCTACTTCGGACTCTCATTCCTATTGGCCCATTCCCAATCTGTTCATCTATATTATTAATCATCCATCCTCACAAGCACAACAGGGAATTTCAGATCAATACCATTGTTTCATAACATTTACTTTTACAAATATTCCCGCAATTAGATACTATGTATGATTTAGATAATCTATTTTATTTTATAACATGGAGCTTACTATTTTAAAAATATTAAGGGACATAATATTCTCTGCCCAGGGAATTGCATAACAGATTATCTAACACGGACTTATTTTTTGTTTTTCTTTTTTTCTTCTTAAAATGTTAAATTATTGAGAAACAAAGTATAAAAGTATGAATTCATCTCAAACATGATAAATAAAATAAAATAAAATATTCTTAAATATAAAGAGTAGTAACAAGCCTAGGTGTTTCTATAAGCAGCAATAGTTATTTCAAATGGTGTATAGAAAATTGTAAAAGAGAATATAAAGTATTTTAAAATTTGACTTTCTCTTACTGGTGGGTCATATTAGGAATCTATGATGTAGTGAATAAGGTTGTGTGCATATGTTATGGTACAACTAGATGGGGGAATGTGAGTACAGATTGGATTTTAAAAAAGCTTTATCCGTTTATTCACAAGTTTTTATTTTAAAAAAGTCAAGATGGCAATGAGAAGGGGGGAGGGAGGGGGTGCAAAATGCTGATGATTGCACATGATGTGAATTGCTTTATTAAAACTAATGTGGGCACCAGTTTTAGTTATCATACAAGCGAGACATTCCCTAATAATTGGAAGTTGGATCTAAATAATGCCACTGGATCTATTTATTAGATTGATATATAAGGGGCAACATTGTCTTTTGAAAAAAGTAGGATGAAAATGAGGGTAGTGTAGAATGGCTTGTTTCGTCAATCAGAACCAAAATTTGGGTGGCCAAACTGGATGCCCTTCATATCGTAAACATTTGGAACCAAAAAGTCTAGCCCTTTAATTATTTTCATCCTTTTAGGTCTGCCAAATGGATGGGTCCCAGTACTGCACCATGCATGTGCACCATACCATTATTTTCTGCACAATTGCTTTACTTTCCCGCAGCGATCGAGTCTGTGACTTCTTGTTTAAGCTCTCATCGCTATCACATTTCCCGCATTCTTTTCTTGTAACTCACCATTCTCGTACATTTTTCTTATCATCCTTCTACATATCCCGTGCTATCACCGTTCTGTAACCGTGATGTGATGCGCATTGTACATTTATACTCATAGAAAACCATTAACATAAATAATTTTATCCAATGCTCATGCAAACAAGTTCATTGGGTTTTCTACTTGATCCTCAAGGGTCACAGAGATAGTTCTACATTAGTAAATACTAATTTGCACCTTAAAAGCAAATAATATATAATTTTATTTTCTGCAGGAGGTTTTAATGGGAAGAGCAAACTATTTTGCGTCGTTCAAACAAAACGCCGATGGATTTATCTGTTCAACATTGCCTGGAATCTCTCACCCTCAAGTTCAATATTCCCCAGGTATTCCCTAGCTGTTTTCACTTTTTTTATTTTTGGAGAAAAGCGATGCTTGCGTGATTAAGGCATTTTACATTGACTAAATGATTTATGAAACCCATCAAAAGCCATTAATTATGCTTTGCTTTTGAAAGGAAAAGCCTCTGATTGTGTTTTTGTGCATCGGAATTTCTACACAATCATTGGAATAACGGTACTTACTGTTTTTTTTATCGTTTTAAACTTAACTTGTTGCTTAATTGAAAAGGTGGGCTTATCTTCAAGGCTGGTGGAAGTAACATGCAGCATGTAACATCCTTGTCTTTCTTGCTCCTTGCTTATTCTAACTACCTAAGCCACGCCAATAAGGCGGTGCCATGTGGCGAGACTACTGCCACCCCTGCTTTACTCAAACACCTTGCCAAACGCCAGGTGAGAATAGCATTTTTTGTTACAATATTCTTCTTTCCACTAGTGGGCCCCAACCGAGCTTCACATCACCGTCGATTAATTAAGGACCAATTTCTAGTTTTCGACTTCTGACAAAATTAACGGCTAGATTTTGTCCTTTCTGGTGCACTAACGTAAATTGACATCGACACGTGATGTGCACAAAATGTTCTAATTTGTGAAATCACGTGGCTTTCATTTACTAGGTGGACTACATTCTCGGAGATAACCCATTGGGAATGTCCTACATGGTCGGATATGGGGCACACTACCCGCAGAGGATACACCACCGGGCCAGTTCTCTTCCCGCAGTGGCGGCCCACCCAGCCCACATTGGCTGCAAAGCTGGATCTCAATATTTCTTTAGCCCTAATCCCAACCCCAATGTGTTGGTTGGAGCCGTAGTGGGTGGGCCCACCAATAACACAGATTCATTCCCAGATTCCAGGCCCTTCTTTCAGCAATCTGAGCCCACTACATATATCAATGCCCCTCTGGTGGGCCTCCTCGCTTTCTTTTCAACTCACTCCTGACTCTGCATATGTATAATCTATTATTATTTCTAGGTGGTGCGCAAAATGGTCACCCTGCATTGTTCCAAAGGGAAAACAAAATCTAAAAAAAATGGAGAAGAATGTCGGTAATAGTATTCTGATTTGTGGTTGTTTTATTTCCGTAAGTGAAGTGATATAAGTTGTATACTAGAGGGTACTATGTAACGGGGCAAGTTTATAGAAGCTTTATGCTGTGCCAAGGTTGAATGCTTTTGATTTTCACCCTCGCGTAACTCATTAAGAGTCATTGATACCCTAACTTCCTAGTTAACAATAATTCATAATTTTACAAACAATAATTGAGAGAATTGAATGACATAAAAATAAAGCTAGTTCAAAGTACCAATAATTTGTTACAAAAAAAAAGGTATCAGCAATCACCATCATTGATACAGTAACTTGTCTACTCATGGCACTTATGGATAATTCTAATTCTAACTTTTTAGATTGTTGAATGGATATATCAAATCGTAATTACTTAAAATATTATTTGAAAAAATCATTTTTAGTTAAGAAAAATTTATAATTTTAGAATTAATATTTAATGTAATTATAAATAATAATAATTAAAAGCACCAATGAACTCACTCATTGGCGGAGATATTCGAATAACAATTAGACAGGATTCGACTTTGATAAAGTACTTTCTAGTTAAAGAAAATTCGAATTTTAGAAGCAATAATTGTTAATATTGAATGATTGAAAGGAAAAAGCAATTAAGCACGAAAATTATTAAGTGTTCTAAGACTATATGTTATACGACAAAAATTTATAATTTGTAAAAAAATATTGCATACATGCGTAAGTGACCAAGATTATATACCACTAAATCTTTTCATTTTATATTTCAGGTAATCTCTTTCCATGTTCTCAATTAGCACTCGTGCATATATGGTAGCGCCGAATTTAAATAAGAATGGATAATCCTCACCATATACTTTGTGGACCAAACACGAGCACACGACATGTTTCAATGTTTTCGTTTTGATTCCATCTTTTACAATTGACGACCAAATAAATGCAACTGCAATTTATTTCATTTTTGCACTTCAATTAAAAAAAAAAAAAACTAAGACGTAAAACATTATTCAACAGAACATGACGATGACGAATGTTTCATGACACTGACACAGGCACAACACACTTGAATGTCATTTAATAACGGCTCATGGCACCTTCCACTTCTGGAGCCTGCATTACCCCACGGCGACCCAATTCCACATTCCTTTGCCAACCTATCACAAAATTGAGTCTCTATTACCATTACCCATAGTCACTTAAAATAATCCAAATAATTAACAAAAAGCAACACATGAATTAATAAAGTTAAAAATCATAATTAAATATTGTTAATAATATCACTTTAGTTTATTTACCAGCAGCCACATCGAATCCACGGGCTTGAAGCTCACGATACTCTTGGCAAATGGATACGGAGAATCAGAAACAACTCACCAAAAAATCACAAAATTGGCTTCCTTCAATCCCATATATCCTCCTTAATTTTGTGCGATAAATGCAAGCATAGAGTGACATAAAATTAGTAAAGCCACCAAGTAGACAGTAGATTATTCCGTGAGCTAAACAAGCTGCCATTACACACATACGAAAGGGACTCAGAATCTAATTGAAGAATAACATTAGACATGATTTCAACAAAAAATTAATAATATTGTTTTTGTCCATGAAAATATATTTTCTGATCTATATATTTTGTTAGAGGAAAAAAAAAAGGTAATTAATTGACGGTGAATTAGAGAGTTACAAGTTGTTCCTCTGTCGATGATCTCAGCTATCCTTCCGAAGGAAATGCAGGGGCACCAGAACGTGAGGCAAACTGAGATGAACAAATTTGAAAAATGATTGTTAATTTGGTTTTGCATATAGCCAGTTAATTAATTTAACTATATCAGATATGGTGAAGATATGGAATTAAGAGAATGAGAGTTACAAGCGCCATATTCTTCAGCGCAGCAGTTGCACAAGCCAGTGGACCACGATTCACCAAGAACCACTGTGTCAACCATTTTAGGAGCCTTTGATTTTGGTGTAGTCAAAGTGATGCCTCAATGAATGAAGATATGGTCTCACTTAGCTGATATATATAATTAAGAATTTAGCTTATTTAAACTGAAAGTAAATGTCTGTTTATTGTTGATTTTAATTTAATTCAAATATTTAGTTTAAATAATTAATTTTAATTTAATAGTTAATATTTTTTTACTTTTTTGGCTTTACGCGTTTTTCCATCTAAGAGACAAATCCTGAAACTAATAGTTTCCAAAGTAAATAATTTTTTCTTGAAAAACATGTTGGACTGCATTAAAAATTACGAGGAGAGATTTATTTATATTTTTTGACTTTTTTTTTATTTCTAATCCCTTATTTTTACTTTAAGGATACTAATTAAAATTTGTTAAATTAATATTACTAAAAAAGTCTTCAAACAAATCCTTAGGGGTAAACAATTGATTGGTAATCTAATTTTTTCAAGTTGATAATATTATTAAACGGAAATAGAGAATTTATTATTCAATAATTAGGTCTGATGTTTTAAAATCGGGCTTAACACTCTAGTTATTTAGATCATAAATTAGTTAAATGTTATTTGATTTCATCACTATGAAATACAAATTTACAATATACAATTCAATTTCTAAGATATTGACTATTGTTTTCTTAATTACGACTCTTTTACATTCCTTTTCATTTACATCAAAGAATGAGTAACAAATAAAAGTAAATGCTTTGAGGTTTAAAAATAAAAAATATATATACTGACTACTGTTTTCTAACTACAAATAATTAGTAAAATTATTAAATGAAAAACATAAGCTTAGAAATCTAACAACATTTAATACTTTCTTCTTTCATATGCATTCAGTGTCTTAGAAATCTAAATAATTAATATTTCTTTTTAAATAATTAGTTAATTTTATTATAGGGATATTTATTAAGAATATTTAATGAAAATCTTGAAAGTTTCCAACCCAGTAGTTGATTATTCAATGCTTTTAATTGATTAAAAATAATAATTTTAAATGTTTAGTCAACTAAGGCTTTTTTTTTACAAATAAATTCTTAATAACGCTTGTGAATTCATTTTGTCATATATATTTTAGCCACACGTTTTGGCAGAGCTTAGACCTTCTCTATTTTTTCATCCAACCATTAAAATTATTACAATCCGAATTTTATTTTTAAATTATTAATACTTTAAAAATTTTCAATAGTCAAAATTTTGTCCATTTCCTAAAAGAAATAACAAGGATCCACTTTCATTTTGACACAATGCAATACAAAAAAATGAATTAATATTTAAATTAATAAGTATCTTGAGTACTGTTTAAGTATTTATAAGCACACAGTAAAATATATTGATATAAAAATATTTAATAGAAGAGTTTTCATTAATAATGATTCATATGTATAAAAATATGAGCACTTAAATTTTTTATTTCAAAATTCCATAAAATTTAATATGATCAATAAAACATTATTTAATGATAAAATATTTCAGTATAATTAATTTTGAATTAAATAATTATGTGCATTAAATAAAATAATTAAATATATATTTTTAAAATAGTCAGTTAACCGAACAAAAAATACTTTAATTTTATTTGATGGAAAATATTACATGATGTATAATATATAAAAAAGCATTACTTTTTGATAAACTGTTAGCATATAATTTTATATTATCAATTCACTAAAATACATGATAGATATCATTTTCAAATTAATTATTACAAAATTAATAATTTTTTATATGATGATTTATAATTAAATAATTGTAGAAAAATAGTTACAATATTAATTTTAATTGTATAAATTATACATGCTAGATTTGAGTAGTCATCAACTTTAATTATTCAATATAAGTTAGTTTGAGAAGAAAAATATTAACCACAAAATTTATCTTCACTATATTTTTAAGATAATGTGAGATATCTTAATATTTACTGTTTGAAACAAAATAGTGACATAAAAATTATTGTTTGCTACAAATTGAATGAAACTTCCCCTCCTATGCTTTCCTTATCAAGCCTTTCTTGAAGTCATTTCTTCAGTTCAAGAGCCATTTTCAATATCCACTATAGGAAACCATGAAAATATCACCATTTGCCACTTTCTTTTGTTGGAGTGAAAGTGAGTATAATAAAAAAAAAGAAAAGAAAAATTAATAAAAAATGTTTTTATTATTTGATTAGTAAAAATTACTTAAGGTTTTATTTTTTTTAGTAAATAAAGAGAGATTAAGAAAAAAAATATTAAAATATAAATTTATCCATTTATTTACTCATTTAATACATATTATTTTAAAAGGTATAAAAATGACCTGATATAATATTTTTTAAATTAATATATTGATCTTCTAGTTTAGAAGTAAATAAACATATAATTAGATGAATTTGAAAAACTAATCATGTATAAATTAATGACTTTGTTTACTTTTAGTTCTTATTTAAATGTTTTAAAACAATAATTTTTTAAATTATAATATTTATTATATTTTATATATTCTTGAAGTAATAATTTTGGATAAAAATTAATTATTATAAAAGTTAACTGCTTATTCTCAATTCTTAATATTTTTATATGTTAATTAACTTTTTAATTAGTATTTAAGGGCACATATCAAGAAAAAATATTAAATATATTTTATTAAACATTTTACATTACTATAAAAAATATTATAAAAATATTTTAAACTTCTTTAAATATATATTAAAAAATTATATATTATAAACGTACAGTAATTTCAGTTTCAGTAGTTAAAAAAAGATTGTTCCATTTTCAACTTAAATAAATTATTAATCTCCAAAAATATTATAATTGTAATTGAGTTTTTATAAAAATTTAATTCAATTTAAGTTATTATATTTGATAAAAATACATAATTATAATATTTTATTTAAAATGAAAAAATATATTTTTAGAGAGTAGAATTTATTTAAGGCAGTTTATTTGCAATATTTGACTACAACGAGGACTCTTTATTTCATTTAAACTTTTCACTACAAACCACTAACTGCCTCCATCACCATAAACATTAACGCTAACGGCTCATGCCACCTTCCACTGCTGGAGCTGACGTGACGCCACGTGTACGCATTTCCACGTTCCCTTGCCAACCTAAATAAATAAGCCAAAGATTTACTTTAATTAATTATGAGTTTTATTAATTTGAATTGATAAAAAAATGTTTATTTTTCTGTTTTACATGATATCATACTATAATATAAATGAATGTACAGTGTGAGTTAAATAAATTAGTTGAATTAATTACCAGCAGCCATGTCGAATCCACGAACTTTGAGCTCACGATACTCTTGGCAAATGGATAAATGGGGGCAGAAGCAACTCACCAAGCAATCACTACATTCGTTTCCATGGATATTGTATAGCTTTCTCAGCTTTGTACGATACACCCATGCGTATATGCCCCCAAAATGAGTAAAACCAGCAAGCAGGTAGAAAAGTGTTCCGTGTAGACAACAAGCTGCATAAGCAATAGATAAATAATAATGACATACTATTTATGATACCAATTGAGGCTCAATTAAACACTCACAAGTTGATCCTCTGTCCACAATTTCGGCTATTCTTCCGAAACTAACACAGGGACACCAGAGCGTGAGGCAACCTACACATCAAAAGTTAATATTATTAAATGAAGGTTGCTTCATTTGTTCACTATATGTCGCATAGTTTGTTTATAAGGAGATTAATAACTGGTTAAGTACATGCTCCACAGTCAGAGAAGCAGTCGCAAAACCCAGTGGACCATGATCCAACACCAACCTTCTCGCTCATTTTGGAAGCCAAAATTTGTGTGTGCATGGTTAAGGCCTCAATGGATCGTTATTAAATAACTGGTGTGTGCCACTGTCGCTTCGGTCAAATCCAACTAGTAAAGCAGTGGGTCAATCCCACTTAGCCATGTACCAAAATAATCTTTCATCGCTTACTTGATTATTGGTTTGATTATCTTTTGTGATTTAATAACTACACGATTTACATTTTAATTCTTGTTATATTGATTTTTAGATCAAACTTAAATTTAATTACAAAGTAAAGTGGTAAGTGCATGCATATCTACACTCGAAGTATTACTCCGTTCTAGTGTGGGAAAACGTATGAAAGATCTAAGACGTGTTTGATTCGCTAAAACCTTTTTAAAAGACTAGACAATATAAAAAGGATAAAACTTAAAAGTATTCTAGGCATTGGTTTTTAATTGAAGTTAAAGTTTTATCTTAAATTAATTTATTATTTTTCAATACTGATGTGTATATTAATAATATCTTGAGAATAACGACCACCCTAACTCATGATGCCACAACATGTATTATTGTCACGTAACAAGAGAGTAATTATTGATCAAAGACGTGGAATAAAATTTTTAATTAATATTCAAAATTGTATAAATTAAATATTTTAATTTTTAATTTTTTTTTGTTATTCCAGACTTTCTAAATTATTATTTATTTTACTTATTTAGTTTCAAAGATTAATTTGATAGATTAATAGTAAAAAATGCTTTATAGGTGGAATAGGTTCACCGATGCAGAAGCACCAGGTCATCGTCTACTCAACGAAAAAGTTGAATTAGGGCATAAAGACAATCGAGTATGAAAAGCACATCCACTCGACGAAGTGGTTCTCATCAGGTGCGAAAACTAGCTATGTACTGATTTTTTTGCGGCCACGTACGGTTTACATTAGGTTACATTACTACTTGGTATCCGTCGTTTACGATATAACATAAAGCATCCACAGAAACATTTCCTTCATGTGGCTATTGCCTATTGTTCGCTTTGCGTAGCCTACGACTGAAGGAGTCAAAAAGTAAACATTGCACCCACCAATTCTTTGGCTCCCCTTAATTAGGATAGTGTTGAATATGTTCTTGTCTCGTGTCTTTTTTGAAAAAAAACTAATGATCAGAAAAAAAAAAGGTGAAAAGTGTTATTTCTTGAAATCATGTCTAAGTATGAGTACTTCCGAAATTATGTGTATGAAATTGAGAGGGAAATGAAAGAAAAAATGGATTTGCCTTTATTTTATTTCCTAAAGAGATGGTCGATGAGGTAGGTTTTAAGTTCGAGAGAATAATACGAACCAAAGTTATAGCTAACAAGGACTTTCCAATAAAACTCCTACAAGAAGAATAATTGTAAAATCTTTCTTCTCTGCGATGGAGTCTTTTATATCATCGCTGTCTTTTTCTTATTCCTTTTCTTGAAAATTCCAAGTTGTACTGTTGTACACACTAATTAATATGCACGTCCTTTTAGTAAGAATGTCTTCTATCCACCTGGCAATGTCTTCTTTTAATACTATAGCCATGTTCATATTTGGTAAAGACTAATGCCATTTTCACTCTCTTTGTTTTTATAATACTAATTTATAATATATATATTTTTTTTATATTTTTCTCATCCCATACTCCTTTCTCTTCTCTTTCTATCTTTCTTTATATTGCAGAAATTAGTGTGACAGAGTTGAGTAGCATCACTTTTTGGCCAATACATGTTTCTACCTATCATTAATCTGAATGACACAATTATCTCTTATTTTCTGAAACATCTTCTCATACCCCATTTAAGTTATTCAAATAATAACAATAATAAAACTAAATCAGTAATCTGGTTTTATTTTTATGACTTTATTTTTGTTTTTGGAGTGATTTTTTTTAGCCAGTTACCACTTGAATTTTTGTTTTGGTAAGTCGTGCTCGTTTCCCTAATATAAATAAAATATACAAATTTCAAATTTTAAAAATTGATTTAATTAATAAAAATTATTTAAAATATAAAAACAAGTATTCAAACTTTATAATTTTAAAAATATAAATAATTTTAATTTTTAAATTATTATTATTATGGTAGATATGAATTGTTATTTAAGACTAAAGACTTTTTTGTATTTTTGTTTGTGCAAGCGCGTGTTTCTATTATTTCGATACCAATGAGAAATTGAGAATGTCTTCTTTTTTTTTTTCCCTCAATGGATCATGTCCCACAGTACTTAGAAAATAAAGATGTTAAATTAAAAAAAAATTACGAAAGTATGTAATAGGTGAATAAAAGAAATCTAAATATACACCTTTAAATCTAGAAAAAAAAATAATCTTAAAAAACCTCAAATACGAAAACACCAATAGATAGTTGAAAGCTTGCTTAGCATGTATTTTTTGTAAGCCCAAAATGTTTGGGCGGATATACAATATATTAGGGCCTGTATTTTTTTTTACAAAATTTCATTTTGGAAGATAAAATAAAAATGGTAGTGTATTTAGCAAAAAAAGAAGATACAAAAGTAATGACCTCTTTCAAGACTTATGTTGGGCCCAAAAAAGTAAAAGCTTAGAACTTCTTTTTCGGTCAAAAGCTTTAAAACTTGTTTATAAGGTCACTTTTGTTTAATGGCCCAATGGAAAACAGAAAACCTCTTAAGCAAAGTCCTAGCCCCATGAGCTTGGTAAGCTTGGGTCACACAAAAATAAATAAGAAAAAAAAAAAACTGAGATGAGAGAGATGCATGAGATTCATAAACAGTAAGAATAAGATGAAGTTTAGAAATCTAGGGAAATCTTTTTCTTGTTTTTTTTTTGCTTTTAAATATTTGTGTTGAAAACAGTAAGAAAAAAAATTCACTATTTTTTTATATAAAATTATAACTTTATAAAATAAAAAATAAAATAACATTTTTATAACTAAAACTAAACAAAAATTCGAAAATCAGACAACTCTTCCCTATTTCATCAACAACCGAGTGGGCTTCTCTTCACACTGCACATGGCACCTTTGGACATCTAAATTCCTTTTTCATTTGATATTTGTTAATAATTAAATCAGCATTAAATAAATTTATTGGTACTACATAAATAGTTTAATATTTTTATTTAATAAAATTTTATAATAAATCTAAAATATTTAATATTAATAATAATACAATATAATAATTAATAATGCGAATACTATTTTTGGCACGTATAAATACGGGTAGTGTGAGAAAAAAAAATCTACAATTCTGTATATCTGGGAGAGGTATATTTTTCTTTATTTTCTTACTTGAAACTTCCCATTGTTTGATTTAGACGCAGCGACTTTCCGTCCATTTTTATCTTATCCCTGACAGCTACAGAAAATGTAGAAAATTAGAAATTAAAATAAAGGAGTTGAGGATAAACATTTAATGATAAAAAAAATTATTAAAAAGTATTTATTATATTCTTATAATTTTAATATAATAAATATATATTTATATTGAAAAATTTATAAATACGGAAACTGAGGCTCATGTTAGCAAAACCCTTCAGATAATGAAACTTTGTCCCAGCTGTAAGGTTGTAAGGCTGTAACAAGGCCAACTTTACTAAGTTGACCAACTTTTCATTCCTCGTCAATTTCTTTGTCTCTGCGTGCACGACGGTCTCGTCAACTTAGATACAATTTATAATTTTTTATTTTTTATCATTGAGAGATTATATTGCAGAAACCAATATTAGTCTAACGTTGATTCTGTTAAGATGTAGAAGAACCACTGTAAATTTTATTTTTTTAAGAATTTTGTTGAACACATAATTTAGCTTAAAGTCGTTTTATATTTTTATGTGCTAACCTTTTGCTTTAATTTCTTTTCTTTCAAATTGCCAATTGCATCAAATGTAATTTACCCTTCATTAAAATTAGCATGTAAAACAGTGACTTTCCAATGGTTACTAATGCTCTAGATTTAAAAGAGAGATATTGTTTTAAGTGAGACGTTATCGTTAACAAAATAATAAAAAAAAAGGATAAATTATGGGGTAGCTATAAAAAATATTTAGAATATTCTACATAAAAAATTTTAACTAATAATATTTAAACACATATTTAAATAATAACTTTATTTAATAATAAATTATTATATTTATTATATTTAAATAAATTAAAATTTAAAAAAAAAATATTATATTAATATATTTTTATATTCTTAATTTTACTATTATTAATAATTAATTATTCAATTAATATATTATTTATAATTTTTTATTTAAAATTAAAAATTTATAAAATAAAATAAAATAAGAATTTTAAAATACAATAGGACTATACAACAAACAATATAAATAATATAATTTTAAATAAATTATATATAATAATATTTTAAAAAAATTGTTACATATTTTTTTATTAGTATAAATTTTTTTGAATACAATACCTATAAAAAAATTTTAGAGTACCACAACATACACCTAAAAGAAATTCATAAGAATAACATTAGATTTAATTAATAAATTAATTGACTCAAATTAACGGAGAGTAAGAATATAATAAGCTAAAAAAATAGTTAGGCAAAATAATTTAAATATAATAAAATATAAACAATATATATATAAAATATGATATTTTTGGCGAATGTACATGAATATGGCATTTTAAAAATTATCATTTGCAATTTTTTCATAATTCAAACAAAAACTTGCAACATGTAGACTGGAATAACATGACTATGAGCTTCATGGACATATGAAAAATTGCCATAGACAATCTTTGACTCTTCCACTCGCGAATGCATGCAGGAATTTTTTAAAATCTTATGAAAAATTGCCATTCACAATGTTTGATAGGGAGCATTGTTCCAATGGCGAAGTAGTTGAACGCAGTAGAAAATCTTTGAAAAATCATCATTAGCTATCTTTGACTCCTCAAAAACCTGCAACAATACACTGTTCTATTCCCTACCACATGTGTCAGCAAGCAATTAAAAGTTGCTAAGGACGACTATAAATTCCACTCTGATGCAAGAGAAGATATGCATGAGAAAGTGAGGAGGAAAAAAACGAAGAAAGAAGAAGGAGCATTCTGAAATTTTTCTAGGAATAAGAAGAAGGAATGTTATAAGTGAATGAAAAAATATTTGAGTATAAAATATTTAAATTCAAAAAAAAAAATTTGAAAGATGGTTATAGATATTACATGTAATTCAGCATATTCCAGAAAGCATTTGTAATTTAAATGTAAGTGTTTTAATTTTTATGTTTTAATTAAAATTTGAATTTGATTACAAAATTGTGATAAATATTTATGATAATGTAATAATTAGTGAGTAAATAAAAAAATTACTAAATATACATTTATGGTATTGTAATTAATTGTTATTATTGTATTTATGTTGATAAATAAATTTGAAGAAAAATATAATATTAAGTAATAATTGAAAATATTTAATATAAAAATAGAAAGTTTGAAAAAAGAAATTATTTAAAATCAGAATAATAATTAAATTCACATTAAATTAATTTATATTAAATGTTGTAATCTCTGTTTTTGTTATTTATTTACATATTGTAATTCATATTAAAGTGTTATTAGTTATTTTTAAAACATAGTTTAGAACATTTAGAATAATTAGTTAGTAAATATAATAAATTACAACATGTAATTTTAAAATTCTGTTATTTAATTTTATTAACATAATATTTTGTTAGTAAGTTAGTAAATATCATAATTTATAAATTTCACTTAAATTATTTGTGTTGATTAATATTATTTTTTTACAATAAAAAATAAAAACATTATAGTTCCATCATTTATCTATAATGTCACTTAAAAAAAAAAAAATTTATAAGATATTAAATTTTGTCATATTTCTAAAATACTGACAATTGTTTAAATGTTCAAAAGTTATCAATAATATATATATATATATATATATATATATATTTTAAATCTCAAATGTTGTTATTGTCAATTTTATAAATATATAATTTTTTTTAAATATCACCATTCATATAATTTGATATTTATAAATTAAAAAACGCTATTGAAAAGATTTTATAAAATTTTATATTCGTGTAATAAATTAAAAAATTATAAAATTAAATTTTTTTATAATTTTTGTATTATTAAATATAAATACCATATAAAAAAAAAAAGCCAAAAGAGTTACACAAACCATTCTCATCTAATCAACTTGATGTGGATGGGTTTTGTCCAGTCCACGCTGTCAACTATCAAGTGACTCGTGAAGGTTTTATTGGAGCATCTATCATGTCAAGCACGCAGATCGTTGATTCTTCCTTTAAAGGCAAATTTATTATAATATTATAAATTTAAAAACAATTTATTATTTTATAACAAATCTGAAACAATTTCTCAATCTGAAATTTTTTTATCGCGTGAATCAAATTTTTGTCAAATAGCTGGCGAAATTATTAATTTTTAAATTTTTTAATATCTATTTCGTCACAAAAAGTACGAATTATGACTTCTTAGAGTGGTTAAATTAAAACTTCTCTCATAAGTCTATTTTAGAGAGCGGTTCTATTTGAACCGCTCTCAAAAGTTCATAACCGTTCTCTTAGATTTAAAATGAACGGCTGGAGAGATTTTGATACATGTGACAACATTTGAGATGATTCGCGTTGCTACTGGCGAAAGTTTATTTCGCCTTGCAGTTAGCGAAACTGCTTTTGACTGACGTCCTTTTTCCTCCTCCGTGACGGTCCTCCTTCGTTTCCATTTTGCTTTTCTCCGTCTCTGCTCCTCTATCATCGTCCTCCAGGCATATAGGTAAAAAAGAATTTAAAATTTAAATAGTTTTTTATTTATTTATATATAGATTAATATGTTTTTAGAAAAAATGAAATGTGATATAGTTAATTAAAATATAAAATTATAATTAATTATTAAGAAGATAGGTTAAATTAAGATTTATAAAATTTGTTTACAGGAATTATCATAGATATTTATTAAAATACAGAATAATAAAAATTGAGTTAAATAAAATAATTATATAAAACTAAATATAATAATTTATACTTAGTTTGATTGTAATAAATAATTTTTACACTTATATTGAAGTAAAATTTTAAAATTGTATTTATATAAAATTTATGTAGATTTAAATTAGAAATATAAAAAAATAAAAATTTAATTTAATTTTAGACAGTAAGTAGAGTTTTGTATTTAAATAAAATTTGTATGTAAATAACAATATTTTTTACTTTAAAAAACGTAATAGTATTTATATAATTATAAATTAAATGTAATTTATGTAGATTTAAATTGAAAATATGAAAAAATTAAAATGTAATTTAATTTTATGCTAGTAATTAGAGATTTGTATTTATATAAAATTTGTATGTAAAATTTATGTACATTTTGTATGTAAAATTTTGAACCGCTCTAAAATGAGTTATGAGAGCAGTTCAAAATGAACCGCTCTCTAAAATGAGTTATGAGAGCAGTTCAAAATGAACTGCTCTCTAAAATGAGTTATGAGAGCGGTTCAAAAAGAACCGCTCTCTAAAATAGATTACTGAGAGTAGTTCCTTTTGAATCGCTCTCTAAAATAGACTTATGAGAGCGGTTTTACTTTAACCGCTCTAAGAAGTCATATTTCGTACTTTTTGTGGTGAAATAGATATTAAAAAATTCAAAAATTAATACTTTCGCCAGCCGTTTGATGAAAATTTGATGCACGTGACAAAAAAACCCCAAATTAAAAAATTATTTCAGATTTGTTATAAAATAATAAATTATTTTTTAATTTACAATATTATAATAAATTTGCCTCCTTTAAAGCTTCAATAATGCTAACTCTGTTAAATCTTTGCGAATTCACGCTCCTTTCACAGCGTCATGTAAATCTAATAACAGTGAATGTCATTGTCAGGAACAAGTTAAACGATCTAATTAACGGATATTCTTATTCCTATTTTTTCCACACAGTGTCAATATATAGCACATTTTCTTAACTATTGAGGTTTGAGCTTTGAACCAGGAAAAATATTTAAGGAAGTAGTAAAATTCCTCGAATGTGCCGTGAAAGTGTAAAGTACCGCCTTTTAAACTTTTCAAGATGGACTCGGTCCAGAAACTGAGAAAAGTGATGCACCAATCAAACAATAGCAACCCATATGGAAGAATTTTTATTTTAGAAAAAAGCTTAAAATACTGTTTTATCAATTGAAACTTTATTTTTAGTATAAAACTCAAATTAATAGATAGACAGCACCAAAAATACCTCAGCGCACCCCTTATATTTTTTCGCTGGTTCATATGGTACAACGTAGCTATCCTATTTCTTTGCTTATTCGATAATGGGCCAAGTAGAAAACAAGTTGCACGCGTTTATGCAACCCGAAACCTTGACTTGTATTTAATAATATAGTTGAAGTTGAACCACTCAACCCTATGCGTTTATATAAGCGTTGAGCAAATTTCATACATACAATAGCAATCACACCCTTATTCAAACAGCTTGCTTTTAAGTCCAATTACACACTACAACAAGTGTTCCGGCAGCATTCATATAAGAATGTATCAACAAGGTTCAGATGACGCAAAGCCACCGTACCCTCAACCGGCTGCCACCGGTTTCCCGGTGAGCTACAGTGCTGCAGCCTCCTCGGACGCTTCCCAATACCATCAACCACCACCTCCTCAGCCTAAGCCTATTGTCGATTGGTCCACAGGCCTTTGTGATTGCTTCTCTGATTGCGGAAACTGTAAGACAAATTATTTATAATTACAAAGTACTAATGATTACACAAGTGTTGTATTTAAATGCCTTTTGATATTTATATTTGTTGATAAGAAATGTTTAATTTGTTTCAGGCTGCATAACGTGGTGGTGTCCATGTGTTACATTTGGCCGAGTTGCAGAGATTGTTGACAAGGGATCTACTTGTAAGAAACTCATTTCTGGGAACAAATTGTATTTAATTCTAAAAGCAAAGGGTAATTATGTTATGTTGACGAGAGTAATTTGTGATATGCAGCATGTGGTGCTAGTGGGGCTCTTTACACGCTGATTTGTTGTGTAATTGGGTGTGGCTGCCTCTACTCTTGCTTCTACCGCTCTAAGATGAGACAGCAATATGGTTTGAGGGGAAATGGTTGTTCCGATTGTATGATTCATTGTTTCTGCGAGCCCTGCGCATTGTGCCAAGAATATCGTGAACTTGAAAACCGTGGATTTGACATGATCATCGGTATGAACAGCTGGCTTCAACCCCTAAACCCTGACTTGGAATTGTTCAAATTTTATTATAATGCTCTTGTTTAATCTTTTAAGGAAACTGTTTTGTATATTTTTAAAATTAGACATATTTAGATGTCTCCATTTTTAAGATGCATATACACAGAAAAGATAAAAATAATAGAATAAAATATCTCATGTATTGTTAATTTTAGTAGTTCCAAATAAGAGACATGAACTTTTAAACACCCTCTAAAAAGTCAAAATAGTAAAAAGGATAAAACTTGGATATTATTTATTTTTTTTAAAGAGATTATTTCTCTGTTTGTTTTGCTTAAATTATTTTTCTTTGAATTTGGTATGGTCAGGGTGGCATGGAAATGTTGAGCAACGAAGTAGGGGAGTAGCCATGGCTGTAACAGCTCCAACAGTCCAACAGGGCATGAGCCGTTGAAGCGAAGATCCATTTGCTTAGTAATATAGTAGTTCTGCGATTGAGTTGAGTGTGTTGCATCATGTTAGATCCGAAGAACAATAAAGTCTGAAGAATAAGTCTCTGTGTTTTTCCTGTAATAGTTGTAATTATTGCTAATTTTCCTCTATAATTGATGTATTTCAGTGTATCAGCTATAATTCCCAAGAGGTAATGCGATTGTGTTAGTTTTTTTTAAATTATTTAATGACTCAGTTACTCGATGGCAATCGTCATATAAAGATCAAAGATGTGTTTTGGTACTGATTCAAGGAATCAAAATTAGAAAAAAACTGTAAATATGAATATATGTATATTATAGCTCAACCAAAATTCATCGTGTTATCATCAAAGTCACGGTCTTTCTTATTATTATTATTATTATTATTATTATTATAGTTAACTGAAAAGATACAAATCTTGAGAACACGCAAGCAAAGTAAATAATATACTACATCTAATTCAAAATCTCAAAACATCAGCGTATGGGTCATTATGACAGTAAGATTTTATTATAGTATCACTTAAACATGAATTATTATATAATTAACTTTTATAATAGTTATTTAAAATTAAATTTAAGATTTTCTTAAGTAAATAGTAATATAACAATCTTTACATAACATTGTATATTAAAATTAAATTATTTTAAAAAATTGATAAACAATAATTATTTTCCCAAAATCAGCAGGCTAGCTTGGTCTAATAAACTTATCTCTAGAATTTGACATTCACTATGTTTGTAAACATCTTCCTCGTTTATATAAAAAAAATGCTGTCCTTTTTAATTGTTTGCATAATAAAATTATTTTATCGTGTCTTCATAAACACAGAGAAAAATATTTAAATAAAAACATTTATTATGTAAAAATGTTAAACTTATCTACCCCGCGTGAGACCTTCTCTACACTGTTGGAAAACGTGTAACCGAAGACAGCGAACGTCAACCCAAATGGGCATTTGGTGTTCGCACAATTCTCTCTGTTTCTCTATTAAAAAGATTAAGATTTTATTTTGAAGGGTTTTGTCATGGTGATATTAATTCATCAATTTTTTTTTTATAAATAGTAACTTTTATTTTTTAAAAAGTAATTGTAAGAATGAAAACAAAATCTGTTTTGTAATCAAAACAAGAGAAAACAGCAGTAGTTTGGTTTTTAATTTTTATTTCCCATGCATATACTTTTTTAAGTCTAAAATCACAAGTATTCTTTACGAAAAATAATTATCTCCAAATTAAGAATGTTTGTAATACGTCAACTAACACTCCTAATCAATTTGAAGTTTCAAAGAGTATACATAATTAACCAATGATCAATTGTTTCTTAGTGCTAGTACATTGACATTCTCTCTCTCAACTCATATATTGGTTGGCATGAGAACAAGTCAGAGCATATATTGCACTGGCATTCTCTTGCCGCAATAGAGAGAAAATAAAACAGAGCATAACATTTAAGAAAAAAACACATTTTAATTCCACCCATGTCACATTGGAATATGCCATCATGAAATCATTCATACTAAAGAAATCCAGCACAATTATTCATAAATGGATAAGTCACGTAACTAAAATTCAGTTCATGCTTCATAATATGTATAAAAACTTACGTTAGAAAAGACAAATTTAATTTCGATAACATCTATTGCTGAAAAGGATTAGGGAACGCACGTCGCCACCCCCCGAAAAACCACTCAACACTGTTTCTCAATTTTTACGCTTATAAATTGTGGGGTCACACCACACCCTCATCATCATATTCATACTTCTTAGTTCTTACTGAATTCAGCGATCCTTTTCTTAAATATGGCTATGTCTCTGCCAACATCCAGTGATGCAAAGCCATCGTACATTCAACCCCCTGCCACCGGTTTCCCGGTGAGTTACGACGGCAACAACCCTCAGCTGCTCCAGCCTAGAACCCAAGTTGACTGGTCCACAGGCCTCTTTGGTTGCTTCTCCAATTTCAAAAACTGTAAGCCCCTCTTCACCCAAAATTTATAGACACATAATTACACCCCTTTCCGGTGTACTAGCTTTGATACGATGGTTGCTTATAGAGTGATAGCGTCACACTATAAAATCTCTATTTTTTTTCAGGTTGCATAACGTGCTGGTGCCCATGTGTCACGTTTGGCCAAGTTGCTGAGATTGTTGACAAGGGATCAACTTGTAAGAATTATTATTAAGAATTTTGCTGACTAGTATTTTAAAAGTACATGTTAAGAAAATAATGTTGTTAATACATTGGATATTACGAAGAAAGTGCATCATCGTACCTTCCAATTCAAAATGTCTATTTTTAAAATATTCCTTAACCAGCATAGCACTGGTTAACATAGGATGTGATATGATTGATGAGTGAGGCTAATGGATCATATATATAAAATGTTTTGATTTGTGATATGCAGCATGTGGTGCGAGTGGGGCTCTGTATACGCTGGTTTGTTGTGTGCTTGGTTGTGGATGCTTATACTCATGCTTCTACCGCTCCAAGATGAGACGACAGTACATGTTGAAGGATAGCCCATGTTGCGATTGCTTGGTTCATTGCTGCTGCGAGCCCTGCGCCTTGTGCCAAGAATATCGTGAACTTGAAAACCGCGGTTTTGACATGGTCATTGGTACCTCTGCCAACCATATATATAAACTATTTCCTCTTCGGTTTGCACTACATTGACTTAGCATAACTTTTCAAAAGTTCAATGACGCAACCAAAGTTTTAGAACATTTTTTTTTATGAAAAAGCAATAAGGATAAAGTTTAGAACATGTTTTATTTTTAAAATTTTATAAATATATGTTTTTTCTTGAATATATTTCATTTAAATTTTGAAATTTGTTAGGGTGGCATGGAAATGTTGAGCAACGAAACCAGGGAGTAGCCATGAGTGCTCCAACAGCTCCAGGAGTCGAACCCATGAGTCGTTGACTTAAGGATCCACGTTCATGATATCACCAATTATATAATGGACAAAACTTTAATTGTTGGTGTTGTTTATTAATTAAAATTTCAGTTTTATCTAAATACAAATATTACTGTTTTTTTTTATTTATATGTTGTTGTATTTGATGTTAAATGTTTTCATATAAATGTGGTATTACGATGTGCGTAGAATTTTCGACTGGCGTGATTTGTTTACCTTTATATTTTTTTCCTCATGATATTGTAATGATTTTCTTTTGGACAACAAATGAGTGTAGGTCAATGGGTCATTTTAAAACTATGTCGTGCCATGTTAAGTACACAATAGCCAAAAATTTGGGCCGAATGTATCCCTAAATTGACCCAAATTGTTTCACAATTCTTTGTCACGTCACGTTGGAATAGATATCTTGGCCAAAAACATAAGTAAAAAATGTTCGAACGGATACATGCATTCATAATTAACAAGTGTCTAATATACAATATAATTGAATTGTCAAAATTAAATAAGCCATAGCTTTTATAATTTTTTTAATTTAATTTAATAAATTTATTGGTATAACTTGTTAAAATATATTTTTAAGTGTATACTAATAAATTTTATAATTAAATTTATGATATAAAATATCCTAAAACTAGTATTTATAAAATACGTATTTAATTAGAGTGTTTATTTAAATGCACCTTAAAACTATTACTTTAATAAACTGTTTATTTATGTTTTTTAGATATTTTAAGGTTTTTTTAATATACGTTTTTACATTTTTAAGAATGATACTCCCTAAAATATTATTATTGAGTAAATTGATAAAAAATGTTTGATTAAAGTTTAATATATACAATATTTTAAAAAAAATCAAATCATATGTAATAAAAAAAATAGTAGATCGGTAAAGTTATTATCACATTTCAAGTTATCTTACAATATTTTTATGAGGATACAATATACTCACTTTTTCTTGTAGAAATTAAAAATAATGATAATTTTGTATAAAAATAATAACAAAAGATATTTTGAGGTGATAATAAATATATTAATCAATAAGAGAAGAGGGGTTCTCTAAAGAGTTACTATACTCATTACAACTTTTTTAATATTATTTATGATAATAAATACATTAAATTTACATTAATATATTAATTTATAATTTTTTTAAAATATTAATTTTGAATATATTTATTTAAAATACAAAAATTACTCTCCTACTCCACAACTTTCTTTCCCAAAACCTCTAAAAATAATCTCCACTCACAAACACGATAAATATTTCTAGAAGTTAAAACAAATACCATTCTCCCTATTTTTGGGGTCAATAACTTTTACTAGAGTAAGTTTAAGTTGAATAAATTCCAAGATTTAAGTTACATCTTCACACTTTGTATTTATTAAAGAAAAAAACCCTTAATTCAAAGGTTCAAGTACAAAGTCATCCCCTGTGCATCAAACTTGTTTAAAAACTTGGGACAAAAATGAAAAAAGAAAGAATTGCTACTAAGCAAAAATTGATTCGTAAATGCTAGCAATACCTCCTCTTCTAAGGATTAATTAAGGGTATATAGGCGTGCAAGTTGTGCTGTAACGTTACAAATTTTCAATTATTTTTGCATTTGTTCAAGATTTAAAGGAGACAAACATAGTTACTATTCTATTCTTACCAGCAATGCAAAAATGACAAAAGGAAAAAACATTGATGTAAGAACCATGAATCCATATAGTACTTTAAAACCATTCACTGATTATTTTATTTGTCATCGCTCAATTAGACAAAAAAGGAAAGAAAGCAACAACGAAGGATCACAAGGAAATTATCAGCGATGAAGGCTTTCAGATGTCAGGTTCTCTGCAATTTCAGTTTCTCACTTGTCCCCATTTTCAAACAGCTTCTCTTTCTCCTGTACAAGCTCCTGCAATAGCAAACGCATAAGTAGAAAGAAAAATGTCATGTTCACTCTCAAATGGTTACGGAGCATGTGAAAGAAGAGAAACATAAAAAGAAATTATTAATTTTAAATAACTAAAATAAACAGTTTCTATTGAAACAAAAAATACTTATTACATTGAAAATATAAAAGTAAGATAAATACTATTTTTAGTAAAAATTTATTAATTTTAAATATTTAAAAGCATTCTTAAGTTTGAAGTTGATAAAATAAATTTTATTTTGAACGTTATTTATATTATAATTTAGAGAACAATGTTATCTCTCTGTCTATCAATAATTAAATATGTTTATAAACAGATAGATAATATTAATCCTTAAATTAGTAAGTAATTTTTTTAATTAAAAATTACGGATATGTTGCATTGGATTGATAGTTGTTCTTCGTAAAACTAACACTTGTTAATATTTTCCTCATTTTAGTTTTTGGGATACTGGTTATAGCTAAACATGTTTTAATTAATTTCATAAAATACCATTTCTATATGTCTTCATAAAACATGTTTTAAGTAATTTCATAAAATACTTGAATGGCCTCTTTTGAATATTCTGTTCAATCGCAAAATTCTCTATATATGTCTTCGACAAATTGTCTAAGCTTAGCTTTTGGGCCCTCGAATATGGTGAAGTTTTCTTTAAAATTTTAAATTATGTCTTTATTAGACATCATTGTACGCTGACACATACATTTTAATAATCCTTTTCACAGTTGGACGATTTTTATAATTTGAAGATAGTTGGGCCTATTTTGTTTTCCACTTATGATGTGAGCTTGTCACATAAATATAAGTGATGAGTATAAATGATGCATTTATCATGTGGGCCTATTAATACCCCTGATCATGCTCCATGTGGAAAACTCATAAGTGTAGAAGTATATATAGGAAAAAAAAAGAGTAGAGAGTTTAGCTTTGATTGTAGTATTTACACTGTTAAATAATTAGATAACAATTTCAATATGCACTCGCGTTGGTTAAAATATCTTTAATGAATATTTTGGCTTCTAAAGAAAAGATATATATTTCAATAAAAACCAAACACTGGAATCACACATTGGTTGCGAGAAACAAAGCTTTCTGGTGACCTTTGTTTTTACGTAAAAAGTTATAAATAAACAATGTACTGTAGCCCGTAGGAAACTTCTACTTTGACCAAATCCACGACAAGAATGGTAGACATGTCCCCTCTTAGCAGGTTTTGTCCACGTTAAGCAAAGGAAAAGTGAAATTATTTGTATTAGCAAAAGGGGAAAAAAAAAAAAAAAGCAAAAGTGAAAATGATTGATTTTGCATGACTGTGTAAAGGAGCAGCAACGAGTATCGTTCTTGATTCTACATCATCTTTTACTTCTAAAATTGCAGCTACAAAGTAAAGCAAGTGTACATACTATATGTATAAAAAAAAAAAGTGTACATGCTATATATAGGACAAATTAAGATTACAACTTCCAAGAAAAGGAAAAACAAACCACATACAAGGATCATGCTAATTCATTAGGCACGATCACTTCAAAAGCATAGCAATACATAGTAAATATAATATAAAATTTCGATTTTTAAATGTTAAATTTGATTAAATTAGGATAAATTAAGATTTCACATGGGAATTTATGGTTATATATTCTGAAACCCTCTTTGTTTTCATTAAGAGCAATTTTCAGCATATCGAAGTAATGAACTGTCTCTTGGCCTTAACCAACAACCTCGTCTACACGCAACAAAGCCAACAGCAACAAATGCATGCATTAAAAGAAACAATTCAACTCAAAAACCAATACCAAACCAAAACAAATACATTTGCACTACATATCATATATCTTTATGTTTCTGTCTTAATCTTCCCATACTGATTCCATTCTACATTCTCTCTCTCTTTCTCTCACTATTCCTTTGGGGCCCCTTAATAGAGTGCAAAAGATATTTGGCATTGCTTTATCTGCAAGAGAAGAAAAGGGTGAGTAATGAGATAGGAGGGGAACATGGAAGGCGCAGAAGAGGAGCTAGAAAGAAGAAGCAAGTTTCTGAAAAGCTTGATACAGAAGAAGAAAGCTATAGAGCAACAAGAGCAGCATGATCACCTCCTCCACAATAACGTTCGTGTCAGAGCTTGTGACATGCCTCTTCCTCTTCAGAACCGAGCCTTTCGTTGTGCACGTGATCTTCTTGATTCTATGCCACCAAAGAAGCTTGATAGTAAACATTTGGCCTTGACTCTTAAGAAGGTTACCCTTTTTTATTGTTTCTGTTGACTTTATTTACCAAGATCTGTTTCTGGGTTCTCATCTTTGACCACATAGTGGGTGAAATCTCAATGCCTAATTTGGAAGGTTTTCGAATTAGGAAAAAAAAAAGCCACTTATGGTAAACGGTTATTTTAGCTCTCAAACTGTTATTCTTTCTCAATTTGAAAACTTAAGTCTTCTTTTGTTAATATTTTAAATAATCTAGTTGGGAAAAACAGTAGTTTAAGGATTGCACAGTTTTATATGTTGGTTTTGATTTGGGGTGTTGATATATTTGTCAATTGAGGGAAGTGACATCAATGAAATGTGTCTGATTGGTTGCTAGTTTCACTCACTCAGAAGGAACACCTGAGTATTGTTTGAAATTGATCTGTTTCTTTGTATATCTTTCTTGATGTTGATCTTTCTTCATGGATTATTAGGCTTCCACTACCGATAGTATGAAACTCTTCCAAAAAAGTGGCTTAATAGTTTGTTTGTGTGTTTGGTTGAGTAAATTTTTTTGTTTTCATGTTCATGTGATGTCTAGAAAATAGTAGTATAACGCAACTGCTTTCATATTTCCAGAATCTTTTCACAGCATCACACAAATTTGTGCTTGAAGTGGGACAATTATATTGTGCTTTATTCATCCTCTTCTAGTTGTAATAAAATAAAAATGTTTACAATATGTCATGATGAATATACTTTTACAATTTGTAATCTTTGGGAAGAAAATTCGTGTATATAAATTTGCACTTCGCAAGGATTCAAACAGAACTAATCTTGTACATGTTGGATAGTAATTTGAAAGAAACTGCAGATTCAAGGTTAAAAGGCCTATATTTGTGGTTACATTCAAGTGTTGGAATTCTACTGCCAATTGGTTTAGTGAAAAATGGTTTGGCTTTGCATGTTACATGGCCTCTGCATCCTTTACCGTATACAAACACAGCTTGGATTATAAGAGATTGAAAATGACATTTTTGTTGGCTTTATTTTGAAGTAGACAAGTGCGTAATAGATGATATTGAACAGACTCAGGAGTTGCCTTGGGAGGTTTCACCAATTTTATGTTCTATTTTATTGGAAAAGACTTGAAGTTTCAATAAAATGATAAATATAAGTGTCCTGATGTGTATAATATGGTGCCTCTGGTGCACTTATTGCATTATCTTTTTGTAGACTGTGAAGAAGACAATGCACATTTTCTAGATTGCTTATGGGCTTCTGCATGTAATCTTTGAGTATGGCTATAGGTTTGTTGGTTATGATTATTAATGAATTTAGGTGGCTTGCTATAGGTTATTTCTTAGGTAAAAATCTTTGATGGATCCCCATTTCATTGATGGAGGGCTTAAGGGACGGATGGTAAATGATATTAAACTTGTAATTCTAGAATTTCCTAATAATGTGACAGAGGGAACCTGGGAAATTAGATGATTCAACATAGCATTAAGCGTTGACTTTGGTGATCATTTATCCCTTTGTTTCTGAATTTTACAAACTAACTGGTGTGACCTGCTTGAATGGCTCATGACAGAAACATGTCGGTTTTACAGGAATTTGATTCTTCGTATGGTCCAGCTTGGCACTGCATTGTTGGTACTAGTTTTGGCTCCTATGTTACTCATTCTCTTGGCGGTTTCTTGTACTTTTCCATTGACAAGGTTTATATCCTTCTCTTCAAGACAGCTGTTGAACCATTAGAACATTGAATATTGATAGCTTCCACAACTTTGAGTCATTGAAATATGCACATCTCCTTGAGAACTTACATCATAAATTTGTGTAAAATTACATTGTAAAATTCAAAGACGTATTCTGTGAAGTATTTGATGTAATTCAATTTGGATATTTCGTCCGTGGGAGAGTGATTTGAGTGTGGAATTGGTTGTGACAATAAAAGGATATTCTTCAATTCAGCCCACAAATAGAAATTTTTTACAGGATTTTCAGTCTAAAAGGACCTTTAATAGTTGTTTTTTGGTACACATTCTGTTATCTATCTGAAATCTGTTCAATATGATAAATTTTTAATTTTTTGTTTCCAAATGTAAGAAATTTTCTCATACCATTCCAGTTATAACTGTATGATTTTGTTTTGACCTTAATATTTTTTAGCCCACCTAGACTAGACCTACAAAATTTGATAGAGGTAATTAATCCCTTGGGAGAAAAAGTAATGACAGAAAGATAAAATAAGAAATTTCTTTGGAGATGAGCAGGCAAAGCTACATTATTGGGATATAAAAATTGGGCTTAATAATAAACGAAGGAATATTCAGTTCTTTCCCTTCCCAGCACAAGGAACTTCAGTCAATTACTGATGCCATGTCCTTCATTGACGAGTTCTGCATAGAAGAAGGGAAGATAATTTTTTAATTTTTAAATTAAGAGAGTTATTTATTATTTATAAAAATAAATAAAAGATTAAAACGTTATATTGAAGTTAATCTAGTTTTTATTTTTAAAAAATAAATTTAAAATACTCGTTAAAAAAATTTCCTCCTCCTTTTTCTCTTATAAAACCCAACTCCCAAACCTCAGTGAATCAACATATTGGTCACGGTGCCTATGTGTACATTATAAAAGAAAATGAAGACTGAAGAGACAAACTTTTACCCAAATTATGATTTAGGGCTTTTTCAAACGCAAAATCAAACATGCATTAATATATCACCAGCAGAGCATATCTTTTGTGTGCTTTTATGGGTTGCCAATGATGGATCTTCCACGTATTAGGAGCCTACCAGAATTGGCTTATTATTATTATTATTTCAACTTTTACCAACTTTCATTAAAATTACAAATTTGATTATTTTAATAATTTTATTAATAAACCTCCTTAATTTTTTTTTCTTTTAAAAATAACCCATACTTTGAGTCCCCAAGGCAAAGACTACCGAGGGGTAGAGTGAGGAGGGGCATTAAGGGAAAAATCAGCTATTCTCATGTGTGTGGCATAACTTCAACCATATATTTAGCTGTATTAACGTGACACACTCTGATCTCATCTCTTTTTATTTTCTTGTCCTTATTGTGTGTCCCTGCCAATTCATATCCTATATCCATTAAAGTCACTTGACATGCCACGGATCCAACATCTTCCATTGAGAATCAAGTTTTGAATTTATAACTGAACCAAACATGGAAGAGTACTCCAAGGCTTCCTCTCTTAGCTTTACAGTTAAGCAAGCACAACCTGAATCAGACCCTCCACACGAGGCTATGTTCCTCGTCTTAGCATATCTTCCAGTGTACGAGGTTTTAGTCATGTCTCAAGTTTGCACATCACTAAGGGATGCAGTGAACAATGATATATTACCATGGTTGAATGTTATTGTTGAAAGGCCTCTCAGTTCGCTGCTCAACAACCAGATTCTAATCAAAATCACCTCCAAAGCCATTGGTAGGCTCAAAACACTAGCTCTCATGAACTGCATGCACATTACCGACGAGGGGCTCCAAAGGGTCGTAGAACAAAACCCTCTCATAAACAAGGTACGAATATCCAAACCCATACTTCAGATTTCCATTTTGCTTTCTAGCCAATAAAGTTATGAGGTTGGTTCTAGCAGTTTACCAAATAGGACAGTGCTAAGGGATGTGGAATTCAATGGATAAGAAGTGTTTGGCTATCCGTGCTTGTCTGTGATCTCCCAAAAATTTGTTGAAAATTTACATAGTTAGACAAAACGGTGTCGTATACATGTTGAAAACCATCTTCTAAATTGATAAAGAAGAAATTGAATAACTGAAGTGTTTTGTCTTATTTCTGGTTTCATTTGGGGTGTAGCTCCATATACCAGCATGCACTGGCATAACCCCTGAAGGAGTTCTAAAAGCTGTGAAAACACTATGCCAAAGAAGCAATTGCTTAAACACCTTAAGTATAAACGGCATCTACAACATACAGAAGGAGCATCTTGACATCCTTACCCTGAACCTTAAAAAGAACCCGCCATTAGAGGAGCGGCAAAAGCAGCAGCCTATTTACTATCATGAACGTGGTAGTGTTTCGGTGTTCAAGCGCGAAGAAAGCCGGCGATTTATTGATTTGGAGGTTTGTCCCATGTGCTTTGAGGTGAGGATGGTTTATGATTGCCCAAAAGGACACTGCAAGAGGAGGGAATGGTCCCTAGCTCCATGCAGGGGATGCAACTTTTGTATTCCAAGGTGTGAGAACTGTGGTGGATGCGTTGGATCTGAAGAAGTGGAAGAAGGAGCTTGTGAAGATGTACTGTGTCTTGAGTGTTGGTTACAGCTTCCCAAGTGCAGTTTTTGTAACAAACCATACTGTAAGCAACACACAAACTGGTGGTGCACTTCTTCAGACTCTTCATTGATCTGTAAAGTTTGCGATGAAAATTCTCATGGATATACATATACTGATGTTCTATAATGAAGTGTAACTGGTGACAATCTCAAACTATCATGCATCACACTATGGATATATTGTAACTTGTATACAGTTTATAGAAGTAAGGGAATCATTGCTGATGATAGGATTTGCATTCATGAATGTACTTAAAGTTTGATTGTTCTGAGTTATAAAATGAAGGCTTTTCTTTATCCAAGTGATCGTGGATAGTCCGATTTATCAGCTGTGTCTACCACATCAAGATCATCATGCCAAATGAATCTCAACAGATGCCAGAGACGAAATAATTCCAATTCAAAAAATACAAATTGTGATTATAAAAAAATAATAATAATAAATCCTAATATGGTTACAGAAATTATGTCAAATAATTACTCTTGGTTTGTTTGTACAAAAATTCGATGTACAACTCATGTAAAAATCACCGATATACATTTTCATCAACCTTGCCACCCTTTAAATTCTCTACAGGAAAAACACTAAATTAGGTATGCCACTGTAGAATCTTTCAGAAGGCAGCTGAAGACCATGGCCTCAGAAATTATATTCAAATGATGAACAAGAGATGCGCATAGTTTTATGCGTTTTATGCAACAACTGCACCAAAAAGTAAAACAAGAGCCACAAGGCTTGTGAAAGATCCACCATTGTTGTAATATTGTGACAAGCAACTTGAACTTGTTGAATTAGATGGGGCAAGTGACGTTCCATTTATTCTGGTGCCTTTTTTACCGTGACTGTAGTTCACCACAAATATGCAAAAAATAAAAAGGTACAAATTTAAGATATCAGAAAAAATGAGAAGACTAGCACATATAATGGGAAAAGAATGACAATGACCACATCAACATAAACTCAATAAACCGTACCTTCCTGGAAATACACAAGAACCATGACCTGTAACAATTATAATATAACAAATATTAGTTATAATAAATTGGTAAGCTTTGATAATGCACAACATTCTTTATGTCTAACAAATATGTGTCAACACAAAATGGACAACAAAAAAAAAGCTGCAATTTTTAAGAGATTTTTTTTAACATACTAACTAATTAGAAGATGGCAATAACTAAGATTTCAAAGGATGCTAAGAAAATGGAATCCAAAAAAGTGTTCACATAACAATTTTTTGAAATATAAACAATGAGAATCAAAATGCAAAAAAAACGAAGAGAACAAAAATACCGATGTGATCTTACCCATAATTTGAACAATTATTCTTCTAGAACAAACTGATAAAAAAGATTTGAATACCACTTTTCCCATATTTCTTGTCAAGGGATCATATTCCCCCTATCTTTTCAATTGCAAAATTCCGGTCCCCCTGTTTTTAATTGTATAGTTTTGGTTCCATCAATTTTAGAAATCTTTCAAATCTGATCCAATCTTTTATGGCAGTTTGACGATGAAAAGTGCTGATGTGCTAAATGAATGAGATGCCACATAAGCTAATTGCGTGCCATCTGAGCACTTTTTATCACCACGTCTGATATTAGATTGGACAACATCTGAAAGTAGTATATAAAAGAAACCAAAATCCAGTAATTGAAGGCATAGGGGATTAGAGGTGTAATTAACCCTAAAACAAGTTTTACCATAATTCATCTAACTTGCCTTAGGGTGAAACTTGATGCAAACATGCATATTTCCTTATTGCCTCTTATGGTGTTCTACTAAATGTACACATACTTATGTAGCACAATTAAGTATAAATTTGGGTAGGAGTGTGAAATGCCATACTTGGATCTGTGGTGGTGATAGATGCAACCCCTTTGAAATCACAACTCCCAGGAGATTTAGCCATCTTCTGATAATATGCATTGAAAGCATATGTAGCATGCGAAACTACATTATCTGGTTCATAACATGGTTGACCCTGCAGCAAAGGGGAACAATCCACCTTCCCAGGTCCACAAGCCCAATCAAGTGCTGCCTGTAGCATCTTAGGGTCAGCATTACTCTTTGTAACACAGAAGGTTTGGTTTGTTGTATCATTTGCAAATACAATACCAGCACCAGTCAAGTGTAAGGTATACACAGGCTCTCCGTTAGCATAAAATAGGCCCCAGTTCTTTTCTGAGACTGGACCTGATCTTAAGTCTTCATTATAAAGCTCATAAATATACGTACTAACTGCAATTCCAGGATGCTTAGGAGTCCCCGTGTTGTTAAGGACATGTCTGATCAAGTTACTGTTGTAAGTGTTGGCATTATCAACAGTTGCATCAGGCTCAGATGACTCACCTTTGGAGGGCCATCCTGACTCAGTCACCAGAATAGGGATATTGGTGAAGTTCAAATCAGACATTGCAAAATAAGCAGCATCAACAACTGCATCAAAAACATTAGTATAATGCAGAAGAGTGTTGGCATCAACAGCTTCCTTATTTGGAGGTAGGGGGCGGAATAAGGCATAATCCAGTGGGATTACACCATTGGACTGCTGGTAATCATAATATGGATATACGTTGAGCATAAAATATGAATCTGTTGATTGCAAAAATTTAAGCAAGGGAACCATGACTGGGTTCCAAGTACGATTGAAAAATGCCTGAGAAGGTGGGAAAGAGTCAAGGATGATAGAAGATGAGTGTGGAGTAGAGACTTTAATTTGCCGATCCAGATTCGCAGCAACAAGAGCAGAGTGAATGAAATTTATGGCAGAGACAAGGATAGGGGCTGCATTTGGGAGGGTAGTTAGAACCTCAGATCCAACACATATGGTAGTAATGTTGGTAGCAGGGACATGAGCTATGACATTTCGAGCAACCCAGTTTGCAGCAGTGGCATTGGACTGACCAATGCCAAGTAGCTGATCATTGGGAACAGAAATAGTTACACGGATTCCTGACTTGGCAAGTGCAAGAAGCAAGGCTTGGTCAGCATCATAGAGTCTGACATGTTGGATACTTTGAGCCTTAAGAAGACCCACAATCTCTGTTGGACTGGGCATGTCAGATACATCTGAACCCACGTTGACACCAATAAAAGCATCTGTAAAAGAAAAGTGCCTATAAATGAAGGACTTCCATTTTAACTAGAGACTCAAAATGACCATGTGACATTGATCATAAACTGTGAATGAGAGAAGGAAAATAATGTAACTTCAGTAAGAACAACACATTATATTTATATAGTAAATCCAAACATGAAAAAGGATATGTAACTTGGTGATATTGAGTTATTTACAAGAGCAATAAGGTATAAATCCTCAATCTAAATCAAAGGCACATAAAGTAAATCAAATATATGCACTAAATTTTCAGCAGAAGGATATTACCAATCTAAAACAAACCTTCAGAAACAAAATAGAAGGACTATTGGGACATTAAGCAAAGACAAAAACAACAAAAATAGTCTTACTCCACTAGATGAAATCAGGTTATATGGATCACACCACGCACATTAAGTAGAGACACTGAAGTAAAAATTATATTTTAACTTTACCTACTATGTGCGTACACTTTTCTAGATCCTAGATTTATCTATAAAATTCTCATAGAACACATTGTGGACAGTGTTTCAAACAGTAATCACTGACACCACCAGCTGATCAGTAGGACTATCGCTTTTCCCACAAATTACATATGAAAAGATGACATGCAAAAAATGTATGTAGTTTTTGAGAAAAATATGGTTCAAAAAACGGAGAATGGAGAATGATTCACTTATCTGTCAAACTGGCTCTACAATTTTACTAATTATAATCTATACACCCCCTGTCTTGTGAAAACATAGAATTTGATATGGCAACTAGCAGTAGTGCTCGGGTTCACAAGTGAAACAGCAAGAAAACAACAATCAAGAGTGGTATATCATAACACTGAAAGGTATGAGAAAATATATTCATGAATAAGGGTGTGTGTGACAAACGAGTTTATAACCCCTTCTTCTGGAATATCCCATAGTTGGAATCAGGATTATGTATAGCATAATTGAACCTAGTTCTAACAAAATAAAACCGAAATTCAAATTTTGGGCTACCCATCGAAGGCATTTACACTATAATAATAATAATAATAATAATAGTTAAAAACAAAAGTATGACAAGGATCTATAGATGGTCAAATTGTTCATTTAGCTAATTGATAATATCCTTGGATGCCGTTAAATTGGCACTGGCCCATGATACAACACCTTAATTGTTCATGTTTGATCATGAACCACAACACTCGAATAATTGTTCATGTCATCCCATGTGTATTTCTTGTTCTTATCTGTAAGGGTAGGACCTAAGGAAACAGGGATTTAGCTAAGAAGTGTAACATACTCAAATGATGGCTGGTTGGTAGGTTACACATCAGTAGCGCCTAGTTCTTCTACCAACCAAGTATTACAAGCAAGAGATTCACTTTAATCCGCAAGCTACAAATCATAAAACGTATACCCAGTTGCCAACATAGTAAATGGGAACTGGGTCACAATGAATTGCCACAACCCTCATCATTTTCTGACAACTATGATTATTATTATCCAGAAGGAAAAATTTTATATAGGTTAGTAACACACAGAAAACCACGCATAAAGACGTGTTTTTCTTCAAATGTCAAAGAACCGCCCATTCTAGAATGCAGATTTACTTGATAACGCTGATAATGCATTTATAAATGGTAGATTAGTTAATACTGTGGACCTCTACGTTTTACTCTCTCCACAGTTTCACTGCTATGAATTAGTAAAGTGGAAATAACTTTCTCTAGTGAAGTTATGATATATGGTCTTGCTAATCTGTGCCCGGATAGAGAATTAAAAATAAATATTTTATTGAAAACACATTAATGTATTAAAAATTATAAAAAAAGTTATATTAATATTATTTTTTAACAAAAAAATTATTTTTAATTTCTTAGTAAGGGCTGCTTAGATATTTATCTATGCTGCATCATCTTGTTGAAAATATTGTTCTATTATTATTTTATAAAGTAAGTATTAAATAAGAAATATAGGCATTTATTATTTTGATAACATGAAAAACATTTAAAAGTTTCTTCATTCCTAGCTTTCTCACATAAGGGTATTTTAGTCCATGAAAAATCTACAAAAATGCAGTTAAGTGCAAATTGCAGAGTAAACTGTGTGATGAGCTGGGACGCAATAACATTGTTCCACCAAAGACGGCAAAGGACAGATCGTAGACTCTTTACAAAGTAAAAGCTTTTCTCACAGAATTGAGAAAACTCTGCTTTGATCAGGAAATAAAATTAAAATTAAATACCCACTTACCGGTTAAACAACCCCCCCCCCTCTCTCTCTCTCTCTCCTCTTCAAACTTCAAACCAGAAATGTCCACTCAAGAGTAATGCAAATGCAATCGAATAAAGAAAACAAGCAAATATTAACCATGAGAGACCAATTTGAAGATATCCGAAAGCTAAGATTAATTAAATCCACTAGCAGAATCTTGTGTTTATGGCAGGATGAAATTGATATAATGAGGAAAAAAACAAACACCACAGACCCCAAAAAGAAAAAGAGAATGAAACCCATTAGACATTAATATATAAAAATACAACATAGATAAACTTCAGTGCCAGCAAAGAAAAGGAAAAGAGATAAGAGACTTACCCCCAGATGCAGTAATCGAGAGTGGTAGCATGAAAAAAAGCAGCAACACAGCCATGAACGAAAACTCACAGTGTTCAGCAGTAACACAAAGGAGAACTGCATACACTGTGAAATTCAAAGGAAACCCAGAACAGAAAATTGGAAAAGGAAACAAAGAAGAATTGAAAGAAGGTAGAAAATTAGGAATTTTGTGAGTGAGTACTGAGTGAGAGGGAAAAAGGCAAAGTAAATGAAAATGAAGGTTTGCTCCTTTTGAGGCCTTTCGAGAGAGTGGAAATGTCTGAGTTGGAGGAGAGAGAAAAAAAAAGCACTTTTGTTGTGGTTGTGGTCAAATGTCAAAGAGTTAGGATTTTTGCCACGTCATCCACGATGTCTATGTGTCGAATCCAATGGCTAACAACACATGTGACAAACTACACAAAATTAATATTTCGAACTTTGCCATCTGTTTTATCCAAGTAAAAATAAAAAAAAGTAATTTCTAGGATCCTTTTAAGATAATAAAAATATAGTTAAAACATTTTTTATAATATTTGAATAATTCTACTTCTGTGAAATAACTTTTAAGTGTGAGTTATTCATATTTCTTATAATATTTCTTATAATGATTCATTTTTATTTAGATCAACACTTATTTTATAATTATTACAACAATAGATTTACATTAATTTTTTAAAATGGCATAAATATTCTTCCACATATTTTATAATAACTCTGACCTTTTAATAATAAATTTGTAAAAAAAAATACTACATTAAATATGTATTAAATAAATATAATAGATAAATAATAATTATTAATCTATCTCATAAAAGATATAGATGTCTTTTTAATTTTTAAGATATGAAAAAAATCACAACAAAAAAATTTATTGAAAAATTATTTTCTTTATACTTCCTATAAAAATAAGAAAAATGTTAATCTTAAATAAATAATTAATAATAGTGAAATTTTATTGAAAATAAGTATTTAGTATACTTTATAACTTAATATAATAAATATTTATTTTATTTATAAATTTTTATATATATATATATATATAAACTCTCTTCTTAAGGCTCAAGTTAATAAAATTGTTATTATTTTTTTCTCGCATCTAAAAACAGTGAAATTTTGTTGTATTATTATTAAATTTTGAGTGCTATTTCAATTTAAGAATTAAAAAAATGGAACTTATTAGAGTTATGTTTTTAACTTATTAATATATTAATATAAATTTTAATAAAGTCTAACTAACTTTAATATAGTTTTAACTTTTATATATATATAAATCCAATAGATTGGGCTGAGTTACTTGTAAGAGTGTTTATAAATGGATCAACCCAACGTGAATAGTAAAATTGAACCAAATTAATTAAAAATAAAAAATGCAAAAATTAATTTTTTTTATTACATTGGAATTTAAATGTAGATTTAAAAATGGTTCCAACTCAATCCAAACCAAACTTATGTCAAAATATATTTTTTATTTGTGATATAGTAAATTACAATACTTAATGTTGTTTTATCTCAATCCGTATGTAAATGTACAAAAAAAAAAAATGGGGCCTCCACATTAATTTGTTGGGTCAAAATTACCAGTGATGGCTCTCTTCTTTAAAGTTAGAGCTTTGTGAACTTAGATCATGGCACTGTTATGGGCTGTGGACTCTGGTTAACGAAGAATATATAGAGACAGGCTTCAAACATGTTGTGATCCAAACAAATTCCCAAAGTGCATTATTACTCGTATTAAATCATCATGTTCACATCTTCGCCCAGCAAAAGAATTGTACTAATTGATGTTAGCCGTTCAGTGGAAATAAATGATCAATGAAATTGTCATAGATTCATTAGCTTTATGGATAAACACATAACTTCCTCTACAAGTTACAACTATTCGGATGCCTTTGTTTTCAATCATTGTCATGTTAGAGATCGTTTCAAACGCCCTTTTAGACATTCTTTTAAACAGATATTTAATTATCAGACCATGTCCCGCATTTGTTTAAGAAAATGTTTTGTATTAATAATAATAATCATAATATAAAAAAAATGTATTAAAAATAATAGTTTTAAAAAATGAATGGAAACTAATAAACTCTCGTCCTGTGTACTGCAAAATTAGGAGGAGCAACAATCAAATCTCAAGGATTGCAATTGATTAACGAGAAAATTTAAGTTCTGCACACATATTCAATGGAATTTATTTAATTATTATTGAAAAAAAAATCCACATTTCATCATTTGACACAAGTTGAAGGCAAATACACAAGGAACTATATAAATTTGATTAATCAACATGCTAGGAAAAGAGATTGGAAAATTATTTCTAGTAAAGTTTATCTGTTATTTGCTTTGGTAATCATGTGCATGACAATACCAAAAGAATGGTGGAAACAGGTAAAGGCTTGACTAAAGCACTAACTTCTTAAGCAAGCATCCCTGATTGAAATAATTTTGTAAGTTTTAGCTAATTGGTTCAACTATTGTCAGGGAATCCCACGTTTTTTATAAGTGCTCTTTTGTGTTTACATTTTTTATATTTGTTGTGTAGTCTTTTGGTAGGCAATATGTCACTTTTCTGCATCGCATTTTAATATCACATTTGTTACTCTTTTTTTTCCTTTTATTTCTTTCTTTCTTTGAGTACAGGGCTTTTCATGGGTGTCAACAAAATATTCTTTCAATGAAAATTGCATGTCCTTATTTTTTTATAAACTTAATAAAAATTAAAATACTATGAATCCAGCAAACAGTGTGTTATTGGTCATGTATTTTTTATTGTATGCTTAATTTCTTCTAAGATTTAGATTTGGTAGGAATGTACTTGCATATATCTCCAATAGTTGACATGTTTGACAAAAAAAAAAATGCTACATAAATCAGGGATATATTACATACTTAACAAGTTAAAGAGTTCAATAAGTATAATAATTAGTCACGAGATTGATATGATTTAAAATGTGCAGTATAAGTAACAAGAACACGATACTAGTATTAGTTTTGAAATCTTCTTTATTATGTGCAGAAATGTTTGTACTTTTCTTTTTTACAGAAGATTGTTAGTTTCTTATTCTGTGCTTTTAGCAAGCATATGCATGAAAATTAAAATATCTATTATATATGTCTATGCATGGTAGTTATACTACTTCTGCTGAATTTAGGTAAACTTCAGTTCATTTAGATGAGTATTGCAAAGTTGAGAATAGAATTCATATAATCCTAAACTCTCCAATGTTTATGCACTTTTTAAAAGGACACAGACAGTCACCAATTAATTCCGCCATTTTAAAAGTATGCATAAATCTATATATAAATATGTATGTTTACTTGTGCATTATGTGTTCAATATTACTTGAGGACTGCTTTTGGGTGAGTTGTACTTGTTATACTACACTTGGCCTAGAAAGGTAGAATACCGAGTATGAACAGGAGTATAGGTGTTCTGTTTTTATTATTATTATTATCTCACGTTATCATCATTATTTCTCCCTCATTTTCCATCTTTTCCTTGTCATTACAACCACCTGATTCATCAGTTCTTACAGGAGTCATTTGTGAAGTAACAATTTCTAAACTCCTGCCACAGATAATTGCTGGCCTATATTGCTTGATGTTTCTGGAATCTGTTATCCGGTGTGAAAATATTATCAATTTATTTGTTTTAGCAATTTCTGTGTATCATTCAAAATAATATTTTAAACAGTGAGAGTAGTCTCTATTTTCAGATCGATACATGTATATTTACCTTTAAAGGTCCTTGATCACACAATTAAAAATTAAAAGGAAAGTACAAAAGTTATCCGATCTACGAGTTGACCCATGTCTATTATAAGTAGTTTTATCTTGACATTGAAGTCTTATGGATTACTAGGTTAGCAAGATCTGCTTTCAGATTATAGTCTAAGTGGGAAACTTTTGATCGTTTTGCCATTGCAAAATTAGCAATTGACTTTGAGCCCCAAGAAAATTGAGTATTATCATCATATTCAAAGCATAATTCTTTTACATTCGAACTATATCTTATGAATTACTAACATGGTTGCATCAGATTTTGTCAGATCTCGGTTATGTAAGTCTTCCCCTGATTCATCCATCATAACCTGAACTGTGCTGCACGTCAAATCAAGTAGCATGTTTTAACAACCAGCTCCCTTCTTGTTGATTTCTTCTTCAGCCAAACCATACTTTTATTTTGACCAAACTCTAAAAATTCTAAAGCTTGACTAATAACAACCATCTCTTCGGAGGATTTTGATTTTGACAAAAGTTGGCTGTTTCTTGGCATAGCTCATGGTCTTTTCGGATTATGTTTTAACACTTTATGCATTTTTGTATAGCTCATTGCAAATTTTATATAGGTTGCTATTTTATCTTGTTTTTTTGGTTTAAATGTTTTTCCTCTCAATCTTGAGACAAATGTCACAGACCCTTTTGCTACTATTACATTAGTGGATTGTAATATCATTGCACAAATAAACATCGCTGTCATATGTAAGGTGTATATATATAACATGTTCCTTTAAATGAAAATTAATTTTATCTATCTAGTGAGACTAGACATTGTAATACAGGCCTAAATTTGATTACTTACCACTAATATCTGTCAAAAAATTATGTCTACATTGCAAATATTGATTTAGCCTCTTAAGGTTACCTATCGATCAATTCAGAGATATAACCGTAGGGTTTGGTTTGAGGAGAATGAAAGGGAAGATAGAGGATTCAAAATTCGTTCAATTTCAGCTCCCTCCTAAAATTAGGAAGATTTTATTGACAGAAAAACTTTTAGAATAATTAAGCAAAATTATTCTAAATTAATAACTTATTTTACCGTCTTAAGCATTCGTTTATTCATAGTAAATTATATTGACATTCTCTTAAGTTTAATACCTCTTTCTTCTTCTTCTTTTTTACATTACTTTGACCTTTCTTAATTTATATAATTACGTAAAAAATGAAGAATAATTTATATAATTGAAAAATTTATGTGATATTACGATATTATATAAATTAAAAGAGGTATATATTGTATAAAAATAGAATATTAAATAATTTTTATTAAATTTCAAGAGATGTGAGTGAAATTTATTTTTTTTTTCTCTCTCTCTCTACTAAAATGTTCTTTTACCATTGAATTGAATGAATTGAAACAAAAATTATTTTAATTTAATCAAGTATTTAAATTCAAGTCCTAAATATAGAGTCGTATAAAATACTTAAGAAATTACTTTAGTGCAAAATATTTATTGTCTATGAAAAAAAATAAGTGTCCTCCTCTCATTTTCTCTCCTTTTATCTCCTCATCTGAACTGAACATTGTGTGGATAATATGATTGTGTAGTTCTGCTAAACTGGGAACTCAAGAGAGTATAATAGCGTGGAATGGTGATAGAAATTAATTATATCTGTTCATGAGGCCTTATCGTTTATGTCACAAATGTCGTGTAGAAAATATTATTCGTCAATTCATGGATAAGAAAAGGAATAAGAATGTTTTTGGTGCAGCTGTATCTTATCATGGATGATGATGATATTTTGAATTCTATAATAAATTACACAAAATGGATGACATAAGGAGGTGGCTTGTACAAAGGGAAGTGGGACCAAGAATCTTTAGGCAGAAAAAACAAATTATGAATCATTTTATTTCCCCTTTCAATGTCAATAGTCCAAGCTGTGTGACTCGTCTAGCTTTTAACACCATCAAACAATGTATATAGTGGATTCTTACCCTTTGGAAGGTTAAAACAAAAAAAAACTTCTGAAAGTATGATGATGAGATGAGATTCGGAGAAGCATATATGCATATGAGGAAAATAGTTTAATTGGTTTTTGGATTTACTCGTCTTGTATTAAAGCACACTTTTAAAACAAAATTTGAACAAATGAACTTTTCTCTGTAAATTTTGTAAAAGAAAAAATCCAACTTATCCTTAATTCACGAGCTGTTGAAATGGTTGCAGAAGCAATTGATATTCAAAACACATATGCAAGGAGTGTATTAAGTTAGTGTGTAGTATGATGTGCCAGATCAAGTGGGTACCAATTCCTACCAATCTTCTTCGTGAATCATAATGGAGAGGAAGACGTCTCATCCACTTATCTTTTCCGTCTTTGCTTCTATCAAAAGTGACCCCTCAATCCATCCAAATCAGATTATTGTTTATGCGCAAGCATCAATGCTATGGAATTTGTTCAACAATTACTCAATCGTTGATAACTTATTAGGCTACACATAATAAATTCATTCAACATGATTGATAATTCCTCAAAAAACAATTAGTTAGTCTAATAATTAAGTATAATTATATCACTTAAAATATTTCTATGGCTACAATTTTCTTTCTCTAAATAACAAATTTGTTATTAGAAGAGAGACAAGTGCTATATATTATCTAGGTCCGATTATTAAAAATTATTTATGGAAAATGGTATCTTACTAGTGTTTGCTAATTTAAGAAATAAGGAAATATAGTAACAGACTTAGTAACCTCTTTCGTTTAAATGAAAATTGTGTCATATAAATCTAATAATAAATGTATATAAGCACAAGAGAGTGAGCAAAAAGCTACTCTGTCTAGAGGTCATTTGAAATGATATTAAAGTACGACATGCGAAATATCAATTCAACCCAAAAAACCTTATCTAGTTCAATGGAAGGTTTGGAAGAAATGCACGTTATGACCATTCAATTCACTATGTGTTTAAAAATGTGATTATCTTAGTTTTGACAGCTACATTTTTTATTATTTTTAAGAAAAATAGCCAACTTCAGGTGAGACATTGGTGAAGATAATTAGTCAATACACAGTTACACACAACTTAGATCAGAACCACACAATTTTTTATAGGACAACCACACTTTATAGCTTATAGCCACCTTCACGTTTCTGTTTCCGCGTGAATGTTGTATATGATGCTGACCTATGATTTCAGACACCCATGTCTGTCATTTCCTTGACAACAATATTTTTTAAGATTATCATTAATAGTGCCATTTTTTTAAAAGTTATGCATACATGATACATCGCTTGATTTAGGTTAAAATAAAAGAACTCTTTGTAATTTGTTTAATGTTCAAATTAACTTGTAATTTAGAAATCTACCTTTAACTTCATGCGGTTTTGATTAAATTGAAACTCAAGCAATTTAAATTATGAATAACTTTTAAATAAGTTTTTAAGATGGACTTTTGGAAAGAATGGCCAAATCTTAGCTTTCATAGAGAAGTCACGCAGTATGTTCAGTTGTGAATATCAAGGGTGTGTTGGAATTGTGAATTTAATTAAATTTTTATTTAATAAAATCTTATTGCATAAAAAATATGTTGTAAATTTAATAATGATTTTAAAAAATAAACAAAAACCTAAAAACTTATTTAAAATAAATTTTAAAAAAATATATTGCCTTTACAAATTTAAATAAAAATCATAGAAGTTCTTCCAAATGCTTTCTAAACACCATACCTAATGGGAAAAGCTTTCGAGCCATTTGTATTATATTCTAATCTCTGCTTGGTTGACAACAAATTTTGATGATAAGCTTCTTGTCTAGAAACGTCTTCCAAATTCCATTTATAGGGTATTTCTTTTTACCCAAATGATCTCTATCTTTTAATTTTAGTCGAAAAATGATCACTATGTCGTTACTAACTATTTTCAATCATGATAAACCAATATAGGAGAATTACATTATGTTATGTTAGGGGGAGGGGATACTATAGTACCGCATTTCTGTCTCTAAACGAATATTTAATATATTTCTGAGAGTAAGAAACGAAGAACATTTTTTAGAAATATTATATCATACAGTAAAATTATACAATAACATATGCAATACTCTTTCTCCCTATATATTATCACTTGTCTTTTTCTCCTTTCTTCTGATTTATTAAACTTGTACAAAATGCATGTACAAATGGAATTTCCCCATTTCTTCAGGCTGAAATAATTCAATTGTCACTAGAATGGTTACTTTATGGTCACATTAAACACTAGGATTGTACTCCTTATTTCCATCCACAAGAACTAGAAAAGAGAGTAAGAACTACTAAGTGAAAAATATAACTGGGCTTTTACTTCAAATGTAACAAATCGTGAGAGTTACATAGTCGTCCAATGATACAATGTTGGAAGCTAAAATTCAACCCACCTTTGAAATAATAGGGTAAAAGCCCTACACCACAAAAATATTTATGGTAATAACCTACCTATGTATTGAACATAGTCTGGTACTTGAGAATGTCAGCATAACTTGTGATCAACGAAAAATAAAAGCAACTGCTTACAACATTTTAAAGTTACAACAATATCTTTCTCTGAAATATAGATTCCTAAAGACGGGTTACTATTTCGTGCTTGGTTGAGAGTGTATTAGTTAGCACCATTGTATTCTTCATTGGCACACTCTTCAGACTTCTTGTTGAGGTTATATGGTGCAGCACTCATCACCCTGCAAAGACAACCAACGACCTCGTATAAATAATTTCATCCAATCTTTGTCATAATAGTTACCAGATTATTGTAACTGATAGTTTTTAACTGATTATTGTGCGAGGTGAAGATATAATATAAGAGACTAAATATCTTAAACATATGTTTGCAAGTTTCAGTAAGAATAGAATGGGATGGGTTGAGATGAGATGAGATGAAATAAAATGAAAGGAAGAGTGGTCTTTTCTTGTGGTTGGATTTAATTAAAAGGGGGGAATAAACGTCACGGTAGAAGGTTTATAGTGAAAATTTTCAATATAACCCATGTAAACTTTTTCTTTAAGAAATAAAATTATTAAAGTAAAATGGTAAATGGCAAGTTTTAATAAAAGCATAGTTATTATCTTTGTACAACTAATAGATTTGAAGGGGCACGAAAGAATAATTTGTGGAAGACTGGTTACCCTTACTTTCCAATCCCCTTCATAAATGAAATGTTCCCAACCAAGGGAAATTATTCTCTTCCCATTTTCCCTTCCATTCCCCTTATTACCACCACTAATAGCACTAACAATAATAGTGAACCATACAATTAGAAAGTCCATTCAGTGTGGTCATTCAACCAATTATAACAGTCCAAGTATGATAAATATGCTTTCCTTTTGTTGAGAAATAGAAAAAGTGTATTATATTACACCTGCTCAAAACGAAGACTAACCTTTCCTTGCGTTTTTCTAAAAACCGAGCCAAGGATGCTTTCCGAGCCTGAGGCACAGCTGCATAACAAATAGCTTGTAAAAATCATTAAACTGAGACATTTGTGATGATCAAACACATAGATAAACTCTAGAGTGCAGATGGTTTCGTCCTTCATCAACATGTAAGTTGTAGATAAATACCCTAAGCAAAATATAAGTACACAAAAATAATGTAGAACTAAAGAAACTTTAACATGCATGAGCGTAAGAGATGATATCGCCAACATACCTGATGTCAACATAGTGGTTGCATTGACTACCTTAGGAGGCTCAACATTGCTAACAGGAGTGGTGGGAACTCCAGTTGTTTTAGCTGCCAGAAATTCATCGGTGCTAGTTGAGCCACTCCCTGATAAAGGACTTGAAAGACCAGAGCCACGCGGTGTATTTGCAGGTTGACTCACAGGCACACCGTCACCGGCAGCCAACTTTGAGACGGGCACCTGAACTTTTGGCTGTGCCATGTTAGAAGCTGCAGATAAGCTATTACCAGCCAACAACATGATAGCTTGTGCCTGTAAAAATAGGCCACATTTAAAAGTTTAACTACAATCAAGTCCTGGTCAACAAGGAGTACAAAATTCATGCTCCCGCTTTATTTTATATTTATTTATTAATTAATTTTAAAATGGATTCGAGGCAGAGGAAATGTGATGAACAAAGAGAGATACCTTTTCAGCAGAGATATCATCAAAGACATTGACGGTTCCCGCATAGAAGATGGTAAGTTGAGCAGAAGGCGCAGATGGTTTCACACTGTTACTTCAAAATAACATAAATTAAACAGAAACAACATTACAAGCAACAATTCAAGCAAAAAATTAAAATTACCATGATTCTGTTGTTCCAGCAACAGCACCAATGGTGGGAAGAACTGAATGAGGTGCTGTAACAGGTATTCCCCCAAGTAACGGCAGCTTCATATTAGTCCCATTCAAATTCTGACCAGCAGTTGCAAAATGATTCTTCAGGAATGGATTCCCCAAGGAAACTGAAATTGCTTGATTGGAAACTGAAAATATCTTCGCATCATGAGGACGATTCATAGAATTCACATCATATTGTACAGGATATGGAGTCAGCGAAAAATGAAGGCCACCTTGCCCATCGTGATTGAAAGATTTCTAAATAGTAATAACAAACAATCAATGGAAGGAATAACAAGCACAAAAAAGACATCAGCTGATAATTATTGAAGGTAAGATCTTGTGGATTAAAGTCAATTTATCAGAGGGAAGTTGGAACAATAGATACGAGTTGTTGCAAAACAAGCACGTGCCAGGTTCTGATTCAAAGTTGAAGGTCATCTACCAAAAGGACTATATCATAAGCACAAACAAAAATTTATATTTTTTTAACAGAAAAGGAAAGAAAAGAATAATAGGAAGCTATACTCTTAATTTACAGAGTTGACTTGAAATTAAAATACAACACACTGAAATCATCCGAATTGAAATGCCCAAAGAAACAAATCATACTCATTTCCCTTCAATTTAAAGCCTAACTAACACTGAATAATGAGCTAACTTTCAATTTTGAATAAATATAGAGAAGAACTGAGAGAAAGGGAAGCATCTAACCTGTGGTTCACCAGCAGATCGCTTTTGACTATAGTCTAATGCATCTTGACTTAAGATACTCATAAACCCAGCAGAAGATATGGGATCAGACACCATTTTCTTAGTATTATCATCTTGTGAAACTTTGAAAGACATCAAATGTGGAAGGGCAGAGACTTTGTTCGAAAAAGGCCATTGTGCAACCGAACCCTTCGTGAAGCCTACACAAATCACCATCAACATAAGCTAGACGGATTTATACTGAGTTAATTGCCCACAACACCTTAAAGGATAAAAGACATATTAATAAAAGTTTCACAAATTAGCTTCTAATAACCCGTGTGAACATCTATCTACATGTTTGTGTTTAGGAGCATACCCAAATCACCAAAAGTGGTAAGAACTTGACAACCGATTATTTTCCCAATTTGAAAATTTCACACACTCTCATACACTACTTCAAATATCTAAACAAGAGCCACAACTTAATTATTTCAACTAGTAAAATCTAGCACATAGGTGCTGACATAAGCAAAGGTATACCACCCAGAGAAAAACTTACATAGTTAAAAGAAAGAACAAAGAAAAAACAACACTGTAATCAGAAAAATAACGTTCACCAAGCAAATCTAGCAACATGGTCAAAATTTTAATTTTTATAGCAGAAATCGATACCCATGCAATCTAAAAAGCCAGAATTTTGAACTGAAGAAAGAAAGAAACCCAGACGAATTTCACAACAATAAGCTCAAGGAGTGAAATTTTGCAGGAGAGCATTTAAATATAAGAAAGGTATAAAAAAGCACGAAAGTTGTATGAGGAAGAAACATGCCTGAGTCTTTGCAGCCATCATCGTTCGTCTCGTCCTTGACTACAGCGAGTGGTTCTTTCGAGCTGAGACCCATGAAATCTCTCTCCATTTCAGAGGCAAAAACTATGAAAAGAAAGCACAGTCCAATGAAAATCCTCTTAAGGGAAGCAACCCCTTGATCTTGTTCCTTAGTCACAACAACAATAACCAGAGACAGGAACAGAGGAACAGAGAAGACCAAAGGAAAAGGTTCCAACTACACAAGAAAAAGGCGAGTCCAATGGGGTCGTGTTTCACACAGCTAGTTTCGTGAGATCTTGACCGTTGATTCTTATTTTATTAAGAAAAAAGAAAAAAGGAGTTATCAAAGGTTGTTGTTTTACCGGTAAACCGGTAGAATAACGGGATGGTCCGGTAAAGGAGCACGTGCGTGATCTTTGATTATGCACAAGAACCAATGAGTCTATGTCGGTGACAGCGCCATTTTGTACTGCCACCTGGTGAATATAGCGCACGTGTGTACGACACGCGAAGACTCTAGCCACTGACACAAGCGTAAAATAAAGTATTCAGTTTCTCATTTCGATTGCTTCTTGCAATTTACTCAATGTTTATTTTTAGTTTAAAGTTACATAGACAATCATATTAATTTGGTAACGAAGGAAAAACGATGTGATGTGTTGTCCATTTTCATACATCAAAGTACACAACATAGAATTCACGAGTAAATGTTATGTAACTTAACAAAGATCCAAGTCAACGATTCGAGGAGGAAGCGCATTTAATGCACTTTAATTTCTTGGAGTTTATTATAAAGAAAATACAAGAGAATAAACAAATTACAAAAGCTATCTAAGAACTGCATCGCCAGATTATCATTTTGAGGGTGAAATAGATGTTTTGAAAAAAAACGTCAAATAAATTAATTTATGAGTTGCATAATTAATTTTTTGAACACGTAAATGCATGAAATAAGTTTTACATAAAATAATAAATATCTTTTAAAATTAAAGATATTTAAATAATTAATTTTTTTATAATAAAATTCATCACATTTAAAAAATTATATTAAAAATTATTAGAGACGATAAAAAATTTATTTTTAATTTAGTATGAAAAGTATATCAATTACTATAAAAAAAAGTAAATTTAGTTAATCATTTACTTCTGTAATTTCATATAACACTATCACAATTTATATGATCTATTTTATAATTATCATTTATATTAACTTTATTGATAGATTTTATGGTATTTTTAAAAATAAGTATATTTGAGTGTTAACTTATTTAAAATTATTAGAAAATATTTTTTTATATTAATTAATGAAATTCAAAATATGATATACATATATATATATATATATATATTATTTTTGTTAAAAATTATATTAATCTTTCAATATCAAAGCCACTAAAAATAAATAAATAAAAAATAGAATTTTTGTGTCAAGTTAAGATAATAATTCAAATTATAGCGGAGTCATGTAAATTATAATAGAAAAACAATGTTTTAAGTGAAATCAAACTTTTTAAAAATAAGAATAATCTGAGATAATTATTAATATCTTCCAACTTATGAAAATATTTAATATAAAAGCTTGAGAAAATAAACTTATAACGATGATGCAAAGTATTAGTGAACAAAAATCTACGACAAATAAATTAAATAAAAAATTAATAAAGAATTAGACGTCAAATTTGAATCAATCATAAGTTGACTTTACAAAATATGTCTCGTTTATATTTTTCTAATATTATCTGTCTCCAAATTTTTTCTCAACTGATATAAGAAGTTGGTGTATATAATTTTGATGTGTTGCAAGATATAAGTGATGAGTTGGTTCAATTTTCAAGTATTAAAAAACAAATAAATCACTAACTTGAATGTTTGTATTTGAAATATGAATAAAATCAATTAAATTAATGATTGAGACAAATTTAAGCCAACTAGAATATCAAACCGGAGAAAAATTATAATTCAATTGGAACTTAAAATCATCTCTATAAAATATTAGAGACTTTCAAAATGTTTTTCTATTGACTTTTTTTTTTTCACTTTAATAACTAATATATATTTGATATAAAATAACAAATAAATAAAATATTAATTAATATAAAAAATAAATAATATTTTAAATTCTTATACAAATTTTTTAGGTTAAAGAAAAGAATTATAAGTAATTTTATTATATTTGTCATGTAAGAGTTTAATAACTTTAAAGTGAAGTGAATCAATTAATATGAAAGTGAAATTTGACTTCAATAAAGATAAATTTAATATATTAGATAATTTTTTTAAAAATAATTCATCATATAATTCTAATATATTTCTTAATACATTTGATTTGAAAAAAAAATTCTTATGAGTAAGAGCGGAAAAAATAAAATTGATTATCATGTGTATTTAAGCATGGGGTGTCAGTCATAATTACAGACATTGGGTACTAAAAGACATGTTCTGGTGCTTTGTTTTTTATGTGCCTATTTATTTATTTTCTGTACTCATTTATTTGATTGGTTATGATCAGTCTAAACATGGAGCGATAACCGAAGAGATACATTAATCATGGGAAAATAAGTATTAAATATGTGAATTTTTTTCTTTCTTACATTGTTTCATTTATTCCTTTATTTGCATCTTCCATTAAATAAATTGCAATGGTACGAGGTGAAGATTCATGTAAACGTTGTAAACATGAAGTTTATTGTGAAATATGATCTTACAAAGGCTATATTATATAATTTTCGTTATTATGTATATTTGCATTTCATACTAATCCAACTTTTTACTTCGTTTTTATTTTTGATGGAAATCTGCAAAACTTGCCGCTTTATTAAACAAGAATCACATTCACGAAGTAACTTATCGTTAGATGATTCAATGGGCTGTGATATGATTTAGGTTCTTAAATTCAGGGCTAGTACACATTGCCATGGTTGGAATACGCACAATAAAAAAGAAATTGAGGAAATTCATGAAATATAGATGATGGTGAAGAGGACAAGTTCGATTTTTTAGATTAGAAAGATCTGACAAAGTTTCAAGTCATGGATTTTATGTAAATTATATTGTTGGCAATTTGGTTAACATACGATTCTATTATTATTGGTCTTAATAAGATTTTACCCCAGGGATTTCTAAATTAAAGCTTTGCCTCCCAAATAAACTGGGACATTTATTCTTCATGGCAGTGGTCGTAATTCTGATGTGGGGATTCAATGGACTCATGATAGACATTAATTATGAAGGATACTTAACATTCCGATTATTTATTTCAAGGTTTGAGTTAGGATATCTTAGAACTATATTCTCAGATGTATGTTGTTGAAATCTGTTTTTACTTCCTAATCTTTATTATTTGATCTTAGAATAGTGGTGAAAGACTATGTTTAGTAGTTTATTTTGATTGGTGTGTTTTAATGTTAATGATTGTTTTTTTTATGATGTTTTCCCGTGGTAATTGTGTTTCTTTTTTATAATTAATATTAACGATTTAGGTCACTCATCAAAATTATTTAATTGAATATTTTTAAACCTGCTTCTTTTATGTTATAAAATATTATTAAACAGTTCGCATATTCATATTTCACATTTACGTTTATTGTTAAATTTGTAAATGTAAATATAAAATTTTATTTTCCAATGCCATATTGTCATGATGTCATCCTATTTATATTATACAAGTCAAAAGAAACATCAATTAATTTATTCATCATTAGTTGGCCAAATAGTTTATTTGAATGGACACTCAATTTACACGTGGGTTTCTAATGAAATTGTATATACGTTTAATGTTTAAAATGTTAAGATATGTTTGATCAAGAGTTGAGTTTCAGAGGAAAAGAAATAAAAGGATAATTTGTTATTTTTAATAAGTATTACTTTTTTAATATTTTTAAAAATTAAAGAAAATAATAAACTAGTAAAAAATTAACGAGATAATTTAGTTCCATAAATATCATACATCTTTCTTAATTTAAAAAAATATTTATCCTCGTTTTTTTTTTATCCAAAGCCTAATTCCTAAACATCCTTAATTGATTTTGCAAATAAATATATTTGCAATTTATTTTAATTGATTGACAATATAAATTTTTTTATGTTAATAGTGTGCCAAAATTAAAACTTTTATGTATGTTTTAATTTTTAGTTTAATATTATATATAATTATTTCAACTAACTATTTTAATTATATTTATTTGTGTATTATTTTTTACGTATCATTTTTTATAAATAAATAAATAGATGGAAAGTTCAATTAATGTTTAAATTATGTAAATCTAATTTATAACAAAAGGATGCGGAATCAAAGAAAGTTTTGCATTGAGGTAGATGCATTCCCTGAATGGACAACATGCATGATTTACCGAGGTATTTATTTGCAAATAAGCGTGTCAAAATGATTTCATTTGCTATTGAATAAAAAGGTTTTTGATTCCATCGCTACGTAAATATAATTTTTTTAATCTTTTAGAACTATATTGTATTTTTTATTTTTCTTTTAATTTTTTACTATTTTATAAAATAAATATTCATAACTTGCATGTGTATTAATTATTTTTAAAATAGTTTTATTTTATATTTAAGAAATTTTACAAGAATAAAATGTAAAAAAATAATAATTTTAGCTTTTATACATACTATTCTATCTATTTAGTAAATAAAAAGGTTATTAGGTATTTTTGTATATTCAAATAAAAATATATGTATTTTTTATTTGATACTTATTTTATTAGATAGTAAAAAATATTAGTTGAAAAACTCATAACTTGTAATTTAAGAGCATAAGCTAAAAATTAAATATAAAAAATTATTAGTATACTTTAAATATGATCTTAATATATTTTAATAAAAATTTTATTTATTAGCTTCTTTAGGTTAGGACGTTAGATAGGAGAGTCGTACTCATCATTTCATGCCTTAACATGTAGAATCTCTTTGCATTAGATTTGTAACAGTTTCGAGAAATAATAAAATAAAAAAATTATTTCTCCTAGAATGATACGTATACAATTACGAAATATAATTTTAAATTTTCTCAAGGTTAAAAATAAATATGCTGGTAAAAAGTGTTAAATTTTTAAAATTAAATTAAGATAACTAATAATAATAATAATTTATCAAAAATATTTATTATATTTTTCATATAATAATATATTTTTTTTAATATAAAATTTATTTCTACTTTTACAGGTTTAAACTCAATTTTTAAAACTTAAGTTAACAAAAGTAGTTGATTTATTTTAATATAAAAATATATTTTTGAATAATTAAAAATAAAATTTCAAACAAATTTAAAATAATT